GCCAAAGACAAACCTCAAAAATCTGAAACACCCTTCAAAAGGAAACAAAGTTTATTCAGCGACTTGTTTTTGTGGTTCGCCCATCAAACGGCATCTTTCTTCCCTCCCATAATCCTCTCCTTCTTCTCTGACTCTGATGTGCTCATCAAAGGAAGAGGAAGGGAGGGGGGTGATGGATTCTATTACCTGTCAGCCCTGAATGTGAAAAGTCGTGTTTCTCCCTCCCTCTTCTACGCTGCAAGTCTTGTATTTTGCACACATGATACTGAGTCATAGGTAGCCCTCCCTCTTTTTTTCTCTTTAGAAAACCACAGACTTTCTGAATAAAGTGAGTCGGGTGTGGTGATCAGCAAGCAGAGCAGTGAAGAGCAAGGAGGACAGAGCAGTGAAGAGCGAGGAAGACAGAGCAGCGAAGAGCGAGGACGACAGAGCAGCCGAAGAAGGTGGGTGGGGGTGACAATGGTCTACTATTTGTCTGGTAAAGTGATACTAAACTCTGGTTTTAAAAAAAGAAATTATTCAAGTATGTATTCTTAACTCAAAAAAGTTCCTTCTATTACTCTCAGCCTCCTGCAAATTCTTTTTTTTTTTTTTTACTGCTGTGATCTGACTGTTAGAGGGTGGCTATGTTCATTCCCCATGGTCCCACTGTATGTAGGAACATAGCCACCCTTCTCTTGCGTGCTCCTGAGATGGACCAGGGACTGTGGACTAGGAGGTTTGCAGCGTGCACAGAGCAGTGTACTTGACCGCAACTAACGTGCAATATTTGTCCGAAACAAACAGAAGTGAGAGGGAGAAGGAGAGGATTGGAAACTCATTGAGAGTGTAAAAAGAAAGAAGAAATACACAGAAACAATTTAACCACTTGCCTACCGGGCACTTTTACCCCCTTCCTTCCCAGGCCAATTTTCAGCTTTCAGTGCTGTTGTACTTTCAATGGCAATTGTGCAGTCATGCAACACTGTACCCAAACAACTTTTTTGAGGCTGATAGAGCTTTCTTTTGGTGATATTTAATCACCTCTGGAATTTTTATTTTTTGCTAAACAAGCTAAAAAAGATTGAAAATTCAGAAAAAAAAAGTTTTTTCTTAGTTTCTGTTATAAAATTTTGTAAAGAAGTAATTTTTCTCCTTCACTGATGTGCGCTAATGAGGCTGCATTGATGGGCTATGATAGGCTGCACTGATGGGCATTCACAAGCATCACTGGTGGGCATTGACAGGCATAACTGATGGGCACTGAAAGGCAGCACTCATATATGGCACTGATAGGTGGCATTGATGGGCAGCACTGATAGGCGGTACTGATGGGCACTGATAGGCAGAACTGATTGGCACTGATAAGTGGACCTGATTGGCACTGATAGTTGGCACTGAAAGGCAGCTGTGATGGGCACTGATATGTGGCATTGATGGACACTGACAGGTGGCAATTATGGGCACTGAAAGGCACCACTGATGAGGCTACACTGATTATCATGGCACTGATGATCAGTGTAGATGTTCCCTCTGAGGAACGCCGTTTACCGGCCCTTCTCTCCACACAAGCTCTCAGCGTAAGGAAAGGAGAGCCGATAACCGGCATTTGCTGTGATCGGTGACCTGAGACACAGCGCACCACTGATCTCCGCGCGCCCCCAGGGGATGCGCATGCGCAGCTAGAGTGGGCAGACATCATATGATGTTCTCCCAGAAGGAGAGCCACCTACCGCTCGTCATTTCTTTATATGGCGGGTGGGAGGCGGTTAATAAAAAATACATTAGGCTCCATGTACCATGTACACTGGAACTTTTTTTTAGTGGCAGCAGAAAAAAGATAAATGCCGTAAAAGCAGTGCTTGGGCGTTTGTTCATTTAATTGGCCAGAGGACTTGCCATTGAAATGAATAAACGCCCAAGAGCAAAACTCCATTATCGCTTAGGCGCGTTTACATGCGTTTTTGCCGCATTTAGCCTTTTTTGCCTAAAACGTTTCTCTCCTGAATGGGATTCTTCTGCAAAAGAATTGCGTTCAGGAGGGGGACGCTTAACTGCCCCTTAACTCTGCTGCTGTTAAACTTTGATCAAAGCCTATGTGTGCATGGACGGTAGCAGCAGTGTCCATGGGGCCTGCTGGCCATAGATGGATAGAAAATTTGGCCGGTTCAGCAGGGATCAACCAAATTTTGAGCTATGTGTGGCCACTCGTACTATAATGATCAACTTCTGGTTAATGGGCTTGTTGGAAAATGTTTCTTGATCAGCAGCTGCAGTGATGCTCAGTGTAATCTGACAGCAGAGAGTCCCCACTCTCAGAATACAATGGGTTAGGGGTGGGCAACTATGGCCCTCCAGCTGTTGGTGAACTACAAGTCCCATCATGCCTCTGCCTTTGGGAGTCATGCTTGTAACTGTCAGTTTTTCAATGCCTCATGGGACTTATAGTTCTACAACAGCTGGAGGGCCACAGTTGCCCACCCTTGCAATGGGGGAGCTTTAGTAAAACTGGTGCAGACAGAATCTGGTGCAGCTCTGCATATTAACCAATCAGCTTCTAACTTCAGCTTGCTCAATTAAAGCAATAATAAAGGTTCTTTTTTTTTTTCTGTAAAATAATAAACATGTCTATGCTTACCTATTGTGTGCAGTGCTTTTGCACAGTGCAGCCTGGATCCTCCTCTTCTCGGGTCCTCCGACGGTGCTCCTGGCTCCTCCTTTCTGTCGGGTGCCCCATAGCAAGCAGCTTGCTATGGGGGCACCCGAGCAGGCTGTTCCCAAGCCTCTGCTCCATGTGTCCATTCACACACAGAGCTGATGTTTGGCCCCGCCCCCCCTCTCTCTCTCCTCATTGGTTGACTGACTGTGATTGACAGCAGCAGAAGGTTTTTTACTTTTATGCATAGCATGCACAAAGGTAAAAAACCTTGAGCCTTTACAACCACTTAACGTTTTGACAAAATGCCCTGGTTCACACCAGTGTGACCTGTCATGTGACTTGACAGTTCTAAATCACATGACAATTCACATCCTATTGTCGGCAATGGAACTTATCAAATCAGTGCAGATCAGTCTGACTTTGCGGTGCCGCACCGATTTGAAAAAAACGTTCCTGCACTCTTTTTTTGCAATTTCAGGTGCAACTTACATAGACATCTGTGCATGTCAAGTTGCACAGATGTTAGCCAAGTTGCACCTGAATTTGCAATGACATGCAGATTTGAAATTGTGCAACTTCAAGCGAAGTCACACGATTGCAGAGTTGGATTCAGTGTGAACTGAGACTAATGCCCGTACACACGATAAGAAAATCGTACGAAAATTTTGGTGGAACCACTGATCGAACGATTTTCTCTTCATTGATAAGCAGGATGTTTTAACCGATAACGATATTGTGAAGGAAAAAAATCCGGTTGAAAAACAGTGAAAAATTTTGTCGTTTCGTATACGAACGACCGATTTTTCTATGCAGTGGTCGTATGAAAAAAATCTATCAAGCGCTATCACTCATGAGCGGAAACAGAAGATGACCCGGATGTTTATGTCCAAGGAATCTTCGTAAACACAAACGAAAAATCCAAATGTTAAAAGTAGATTGGCCTAATGAGATAATGAAACCAGAATTCTGCATATTTTATTTTATGTATATAGTTAACCACTTCAAGTCCGGACACTTTCTCCCACTTCCAGTCCAGGCCAAAAATTATAATTTAAAAAAAAATGTTATTTTATTTTTTCATATTCTTTGTTTTTTTTAACATTCTGTCACACTAGCAGTACAGTGTCACCATAGTGACACTGTACTACTTGTGGGGGGTGATGAAGATAATTTTTTTTTTTTACACTGATTGCTTTTACACCCATAAAGGCTGTAAAAGCAATCATTTTTCCTTATCTCTGGCTGCATTCTTGAAGCCATTGAGAATGGTGATTGGTCACAGCTTGTCAAATGGTACAAGGCTGTTGTGAATAGCCTTGTACCATGTGACCTCTGTCATCATTCACAGAATTACCACGTAGTAAGCAATGATGTCAGAAGTGACATCTTGCTTTCTCCTATTCATGTGATCACTGATTGGCCGATCGGTGATCAAATAATCGGGACCTCACACAGAGGTCCCGTACAATGAACGGTGCCGCGCGCTCCCTGGGAGTGTGCACAGTCCAAAATGGCGGGCGCCGTTTATGAATGGCAATCCGCCCCTGCACTGCCACCATCCGGCTATTTATATACATGGGCCGGACGGGAAGCAGTTAATGTAATAAACTATATTATACTCATTGCTGTTAATTGTTGTGTATATCGCTCGTTCTGGCCGGAAGGGTGTGGCTACAAGGTCACACGCACACTGCATCACTTCCAATTGTACGGAAGACGTCAACACTACGTATTGCCTGACAAACAATTTTTTTAGATTGGTTAATATGGGCCATGATTTTGACCAACGAATGAACGCCTCTCGGTCGTCGGATGACCGATCGGTCGATTTTCTAATTGTGTATTCCCACCTTAAAACCTAGAAGTTGATGGTTACTATGCACAGTTGCACCAGATTCTGTGTGCACCAGTTTTAGTAAATCTAACCCAATGTTCTAGGAGGGATTATTCTTCCATCCACCGCCATTGTTTGGAAGGAGAAATCCATTATTTATTTATTATTTCATTCACCTTGCTCTCTGAAAAAAAAAAAAACATCCACCTATGGCCAGCCTAAGGATCTCATTTAGTGTCACTTTAACTGCTTCCCAACTGCCCTATAGCAGAACTACTGCGGCAGAGATGCAAAAAAGTATATATATATATATATATATATATATATATATATATATATATGTGTGTATGTGTATATATATATATATGTGTGTGTATGTATGTATATATACATATACGTGTGTATGTATATGTGATTTTGTATGTCTGGGTAGGGGGCGCACATGCGCCGCGCACCCCCTATCTGCGCCGTTAGTCGATCACCGGTCGTCCCGATCACACAGCTGTCGATCACCGGGTCCCGACCGGAGATTCCCCACTGGCACCCAGCGATTGCTGACTATAACTGATGGGGGAGAGGTCTGTATGTAAACAATACAGATCTCTCCCCTGTCAGCTCCAGAATGCTGCTTTGTATTGCTCTGCATAGCATAGCAGAGCAATACAAAGCAGCATGTCTCCCTAGTAAAACACAGCACACACAGTATAACCCTTTGATTGCCCCAGATGTTAACCCCTTCCTGCCCAGTGTCATTAGTACAGCGTCAGTGCTTTTTATTAGCACTTATCACTGTGTTAGTGTCACTGGGGATGTCAGTGGCAGTTAGTTAGTTCCCCCCCAGTGTCAGAATGCCCGCCGTAGTCCCGCTATAAGTCGCTGATCGCCGCCATTACTAGTATGAAACAAAAAAAATTCAGTATATATACTGTCATTTGTAGACGCTATAACTTTCAAGTAAACCAATTAATTTACGCGTATTAGGATTTTTTTTTTAGTAAAGACTTGTAGCAGTATATATTTTGGCCTAAATTTATGATGAAATTTGATTTTTTAAATCTTTTAAATCTTTTTACTGGATATGTTTTAAAGCAAAAAGGAAAAAATATTGCTTTTTTTTTTCAAAATTGTCTGTCTTTTTTTGTTTATAGCGCAAAAAATAAAAGACACAGAGGTGATCAAATACCACCGAAAAAAAGCTCCAGTTGTGGGAAAAAAGGACGTAAATTTCATTTGGGTGCAGTGTTGCATGACCACGCAATTGTCAGTTAAAGTAACGCAGCGCTGTATCGCAAGAAATTGCCTGGTCAGGAAGGGGGGTAAATCCTCTGGAGGGCAAGTGGTTAAAGCCACTCTTGGAAAAGGGGCAGTGATCCGAAATGACAGCTTGGTTTATGGAGCAAGTCATTGCATGTAAAATTACGTATACAAAATGTTCACAACTTTATTAGTGTTGAAGTAGTTGTAAATCTTAAACATGGAAAAACACATCCCTCTATAGTGTGCTCTTGTCTCAATCAAGAGCACTAAGGGGTTGATTTACTAAAGGCAAATAGACAGTGAACTCTGCGAGTGCAGTTGCTCCAGGGCTTAGTAAATGAGGTAAAGCTTCACTTTGCAAATAATACCCAATCACGTGCAGAGAAAGTGAAGAAAATCCAGCATTTTTTCAGCAGAGCTTCTGCTCATTTACTTAATTCTGGAGCAACTGCACTTTGCAAAGTGCACAATCTGTTTGCCTTTAGTTAATTAACCCCTAAGTGTCATTTTTGTCTGTTGTTTCATTCCTCTGCTATCAGCATGAGTCACTTTTTCATGACACCAAGAGAAAAATGGTGACAGGGGAGGACACAGTCTGTGATTGACAGCCTCAGTTCTGTTCATGTGTGCTGTGTGAAGGGGTGTGTGTCCCTTCCCTCCAATCAGCTCTCAGAGCTCCCCTCACTGATGTAACTTTAGCTTCCCACCCCTGCTTTTCAGAGCTGAGGGATCCTGTATAAATTCTGCACTTTGAATAGATGTAGGGGACAGGCAGCTGTAGATAAGCAGGTACAACTTATGTAGGAGGATTTGTTTCATCTCTGTGTATCACCCGAAGCCAGTCACTTCACTGAGTATATGTAGGGGTTTACAACCACTTTGCATAAAGACATCGGTGTGTGGACCTCAAAGCTCAAACACACATGCATGCTTGTGTATAAGTATTTACGGTAAATAAAAACCAAAATTTTATATATATATATATATATATATATATATATATATGGAAATATATATATGGAACTATATATGTCCCGGCCGCCAAGTAACTGTTTTGTTTACAGGGAGGAGATCCTTGGCAATTACTGGGCGGACACGGCAATTGACAGCCGCGAACGACTGCCGGGTAGGGGGCGTGTGCCTCGCACGTGCCCCCTACCCATAAATGCATAATCACATAATTTTGTGCACCCATGCCGCCCTGTAGCAGTACTTCTGCTATAGGGTGGGCAGAAAGCGGTTAAAATGTATTAAAACATGGACAGTGTCAGTCAGCAGAGCAGTGAATGTGATTTGGTGGAATTGACTCCTGAGGTGATTATACAATACTATTATCAGGGTAGCAAATACCCACCTCCCCAGTTTTTCATCACCACAGAATTTTTTTCTTTTTTTTTTCTTGATATTTGTATCTGTACTCTTTTTTCTTTTATATACATGTTGAGTTGCCTATAAAGTCCCATACATGTTTTCGGGACAATCCATTCATATACAGTTATGGGATGTTGGCAACAATTAGGGGACTCCTGAGGTGATTATACAATACTATTATCAGGGTAGGAAATACCCACCTCCCCAGTTTTTCATCACAAGATTTATATATTTTTTTCTTTTCTATTTTTTCTTTTATATACATGTTGCATTGCCTATAAAGTCCCATATATTTTTGGGGGATAATCCATTCATATACTATATAGGATGTTAGCAACAATTAGGTGACTCCTGAAGTGATTATACAATACAATTATTAGGGTAGCAAATACCCACCTCCCCAGTTTTTCATCACCACAGAATTTACATTTTGTTCTTTATATACTGTACATGTTGAGTTGCCTATAAAGTCCCATACATCTTTTGGGGATAATCAATCCATTCATATACAATTACGGGATGTCGGCAACAATTAGGTGACTCCTGAGGTGATTATACAATACTATTAGGGTGGCAATTACCCACCTCCCCAGTTTTTCATCACCACTGAATTTACATTTTTTTTTCTTTTATATACATGTCGAGTTGGCTATAAAATCCTATACATCTTTTGGGGATAATCTATTCATATACAGTTATGGGATGTTGGCAACAATTAGGTGACTCCTGAGGTGATTATACAATACTATGATCAGGGTAGTAAACATCCACCTCCCCATTTTTTCATCCCCACAGGATTTAAATTTTTTTTCTTTTCTCTTTTTTTCTTTTTTATATACATGTTGAGTTGCCTATAAAGTCTCATACATTTTGAGGGGATAATCCATTCATATACTATTATGGGATGTTGGCAACAATTAGGTGACTCCTGAGGTGATTATACAATACTATTATCAGGGTAGGAAATACCCACCTCCCCAGTTTTTCATCACCACAGGATTTATATATTTATTTATTTTTTCTTTTATATACATGTTGAGTTGCCTATAAAGTCCCATATATTTTTGGGGGATAATCCATTCATATACTATTATAGGATGTTGGCAACAACTAGGTGACTCCTGAGGTGACTATACAATACAATTATTAGGGTAGCAAATACCCACCTCCCCAGTTTTTCATCACCACAGAATTTACATTTTGTTCTCTATATACTGTACATGTTGAGTTGCCTACAAAGTCCCATACATGTTTTGGGGATAATCCATTCATATACAATTATGGGATGTTGGCAACAATTAGGTGGCTCCTGAGGTGATTATACAATACTATGATCAGGGTAGCAAACTTCCACCTCCCCACTTTTTAATCCCCACAGGATTTACATTTTTTTTTCTTTGTATACATGTTGAGTTGCCTATAAAGTCCCATATATTTTTGGGGATAATCCATTCATATACTATTATAGGATGTTGGCAACAACTAGGTGACTCCTGAGGTGACTATACAATACAATTATTCGGGTAGCAAATACCCACCTCCCCAGTTTTTCATCACCACAGAATTTACATTTTGTTCTCTATATACTGTACATGTTGAGTTGCCTACAAAGTCCCATACATGTTTTGGGGATAATCCATTCATATACAATTATGGGATGTTGGCAACAATTAGGTGACTCCTGAGGTGATTATACCATATCAGGGTACGAAATACCCACCTCCCCAGTTTTTCATCACCACAGGATTTATATTTTTTTTTTCCTTTTTTCTTTACATGTTGAATTGCCTATAATGTCCCATATATCTTTTGGGGATAATCCATTCACATGTGTATTCAGTGTGAAAACAGCTTCACTTTATTCACATTGTAAAACAGAAGCTGCAGACTAATGAGCTCTCTTCTCTGTCACTCTCTCTCTCCTCCTATCAGCACTGTCCTTGTTAGCACATGAGCACTGCTCCACAATTGATTGGCTTCTTGTACTGCCTCTCCCTCTCCCAATCTTAGCTCTGGTGTACATGGATTGTAAGAGGTTGATATCGGGTCCAATTCAGGGACTTGCACAGCTTGCATTTTAACCACCTCCCGTCCGCCATATAGTCCAACGGGCACAAGGTGGTTCTCTTGTTCTGATAGGACGTCTTATGATGTCCTGCCATTCTCACCGCGCATGCGCGGCGATCGGCGGTGCTCTGTGTCCCTCGGACACAGCGGATCACCGATCCACGGAAAGAGCCAAAGATGTTGGCTCGGTCATGTGATCCGCTGTGTCCAATCACAGCTGATCACATGTAAACAGGGAAATGCCGGTTATCGGCATTTCTCTCCTCTCGAGCTGTCACGCTGACAGCTCGAGAGGAGAGGAGAGCCGGTAATTGGCTTTCCACGGAGGGGACATGTACACTGATCATCAGGGCACTGATGATCAGTGTGCCCTGATGATCAGTGTGGCCCCAGAAGTGCCACCTGTCAGAGTCCATCAGTGCCAGCTGAACATTTCCACGTGCCAGTGCCCATCAGTGCCTACCAGTTCACATCAATGCCACAAATCAGTGCCCATCTGAGCTGCCCTTCAGTGCCACCTATCAATGCCAGTCAGTGCCGCCTATCAGTGCTGCCAGTCAGTGCCATATATTAGTGCTATATATCAGTGCCTCCTCATCAGTGCCCATCAGAGCCACCTATCAGTGTCTATCAGTGCATCTTATCAGTGCCCATCACTACAGCCTCATTAGCATACATCAGTGAAGGAGAAAAATCACTTATTTACAAAATTTTATAACTAAAACTAAGAAAAAACTTTTTTTTTTCAAAATTTTCAGTGGTTTTTGGTTTAAGAAAAAATAAAAAACCCAGAGGTGATTAAATACCACCAAAATAAATTGTCATTCAAAGTGTGACAGCGCTGAGAGCTGGAAATTGGCCTGGGCAGGAAGGGGGTATAAGTGCCCTGTAGGCTAGTGGCTAAAAAAGATATTCGTAAATACAGAACTGTTACCCCTGGTTCATATATATGCGGCCATGCAGGCCACATTTTGTGTGGGCATGAGAGCCCATTCATTTGAATGGACTCCCATGCCCTGTGACACGCAGGAAAGAAGTCCCTGCACTTCTTCGGAAATTGGAGCCCACACGGGAAACTCGGTTCCCAGTGCAGTTGCGTTTTCCAGTGCGGGCGGCATGCCATTAGAATTAATGGCACCTGCCCGCGGGTCCACATTCCTCTGTGCGGGTGGTGTGGCTGCACGGATTTTTGTGTGAATCCGCAGCGGCACCACCTGCACAGATGTGAACCTAGCGTAATAGTGATTTTTGCATCTGCTTGAAGTTCACTTTGTGGCTGCATTTGCATCTGTTCGTTTCCTAAATGTGCGAAAAAACACACAAAAATGTGGTTTTTGACAAGCGTTGCAGAAAAAACACTGTAATAGCAGGTTGTGCTGGCAGTGCTATGTGCGGATAACAGAGATGTGTTTTGAAGTTTGTTGCTCAGCATAATACACTACAAGCGTGCCAAAATATGCACTGAAAAAAACACCTAATGCTCCATGACTGAAAAGGTTCTGGAGCTACTTTAGGGCGTTTGTCACACATAGGGTGGTCCATTCAAGTGAATGGGCTGCCCCAAATGTGATGTGCATTAACTTGTAAAAAACCATACCACGCTCCCGTTTGAATGGGGCCTTAAAAAGAACTCCAGGCAAAATGTTTTATATTTTATTCTGGATAGAGTAAGGGATCCCCTGTCATTTTTCTGCCATCTGTGTCCCGTTGGGGAGATTTCTCTTCATTTTTCTGCCACATAGCCAAAGTATGAAGTGTGCAGAAATCCCTCCAAAGTGAGGGAATCCCCAGCTGTCATCAGAACTGGTGTCCCCATTGAAGGATTTTTCATCTATTGCTGTTCTGGTGAGAACCCAAAATCTGGGCTTTTCTTTCACTTTCAATGATCATGGTAAACAGGACAAATGGAGAAGGTGAATCTTCCTAACAGGGACATAGCAATAAAACCTGACAGGTGATCTAATCTCTCTATTCTGCCCCCCCCCCCCCCAAAAAAAAATTGCAGGCTACATATTTCTTTTTTTTTTTTTTTTTTTCCAAGAAATTTTTATTGAGATATGAAAGGCATAACAAGTCATAAACAAATACGGATCGCAGTCCGCGCAAGTCTTTAAGCATGTTCTCCCGTAACGCAGACGGGTTCAGGACATATAAGTAAATCGTAGCACAACCTGAAATACAGTCCTAAGAGGAAGGCATAGTATATACCCATAGCAATGATGTTAGCAGTATGTAATATATAGAAAGACGGGGTACAATAGCCCTTGTGTAGGGAGATCTAAAGAGACAGGACAGTGGGGTATATAACAATAGTCGTGTCAACTCAAGGCATATATGGCTTAGGATTCCGTACCTGAACATTATAGATTAGATTTGAGGAGTATTGTTACACCTGTGTGTCTGTAAGTAATCTGTACCTTATGAAAAATATAGTTAGTTAGAATACGGTAAAGAGGTGAAACTGAGAGAAAGAAGAGATGGGAATGAGACGAGCAAGGGAATGGAGGAAGAGAATGAGTATGAGGAAAAAATATCATAGTGGGGCGAGGAGGGACATAGGGGACGAATACAGAGGAAGAGAGAGAGAGAGAGAGAGAAAAAAAAAAAAAAAAAAAGGGGGGGGGGGAGGGGGGGGGGGGAGGGGGAGGTGAATGGGGGAAGGATGAGTTATATAACTAAATAGGCATAACCAAACCAGACATATCAGTTAGCAGCTTCCAGGCTGATACATATTTCTTAACAAAGATTTTTTCCTTTAGCCTCCACTGTCATCTCTGCACTGCGGCAACATGTGCGGTATCGCACACCTTCCCACAATGCACAAACTTCTGTTTTTCTTGTTGGTGAGCTGTGGTGCCATTCATTCTAAATGAACTCCAATGCACATACAGTCACTGGCCATTTTTTTAGGTACACCTGTTCAATTGCTTGGTAACACAAATTGCTAATCAGCCAATCACATGGCAGGAACTCAATGCATTTAGGCATCTAGACGTGGTGAAGGTGACTTGTTGAAGTTCAAACCAAGCATTAGAATGGGGAAGAAAGGGGATTTAAGTGACTTTGGATGTGGCATGGTTGTTGGTGCCAAACTGGCTGGTCTGAGTATGTCACAAACTGCTGATCTACTGGTATTTTCATGCACCTCCATCTCGGGGGTTTACAGAGAATGGTCTGAAAAAGACAAAATACCAGTGAGCAGCAGTTGTGAGGAAAAAAAATGCCTTGTTGATGTCAGGGGAGACTTCAAGGTGATAGAAAGGCAACAGTAACCTAAATAACCACTCGTTATAACCAAGGTAGGCAGAATACTATTTCTGAACGCACAACACATCGAAGCTTGAAGCAAATGTGCTACAGCAGCAGAAGACCACACCGGGTGCCTCTTCTTCTTGTCAGCTAAGAACAGGAAACTGAGGCTACAATTTGCACAGGCTGACCAAAACCATACAAGATTGGAAAAACATTTTGTAATTCGATAGTACGAACATTGATTTCGAAATTTGACCCACCAAGCCTTTAATTTCATCTTGTTGCTAAAGAAAAGAATGGCTGGGAATCTTCTTTTCTTTCCAGATCACAGCTCACTCTCATTTCTTTTTTTATTATACTTCTTGCACGATTCTCCCATCATTGATTAGAAATTCATTTTACAACAACATATTTGATGGCCACATGAAAATCAGTTGATGTTGCAGCCATGGTGCGAAATTTGAACAAAATTCTTAATTATGATTTTTGTTCGACCCACGTATGGCCTGCATGAGCATGAGCTGTGAGCTGGAAGAAAAAGATTTCCAGCTATAGAAAATCAGCAACGTGAGGTGAAATTAAATGCTTGGTGGTTTTCATTTTGAAATCAGTGGTGGCACCATCGGATTCCAAAACGCACAAAATGTTCGACTTTCTAAAGAACATTTGTTCAGAATTTCGGCTCATGTACAGCCTGCCTTAGTCTAGTCCAGGGGTAGACGACCTTAACCCCTTCACGCCGGCGCCTCCCGACCCTTTAAGGGTCCCAGAAGCCGGGAGGGGTTTAGAGTCATGTGAGGCGGGGTTTAGAGCCATGTGACCGCCGTGACGCGCCGTCATGGCGGTCACATGATCGGGAAAGGTCCCAATTAAAAGAGGAGATCGGGACCTTTCCGTGAGTACTGGACATGTGTGCTGGGAACGTGCAGGGCGCACGCTCTCGGCACATATGTCCTTTTTTAATAGAACGCAAATGTGCGGCCGCTCAGCGTCTAGGCCCACCGGGAGGGCCGCACATTTGTGTGTGGCCTGCGTGAAGAGGTTAAAGAGATGGGAGATCTACCTGAACAACTTGGGAGAAGTCAAAGACAACTGGGCACAGTGTCACCTCCTCACCCCGGATATAAACCTCTAATTGCCATTTACCGTGTTGCAATCACGTGCATTGCACAACAATTGTGGGTTTAAATCAGGCGGCAAGGAGTCAACATATCGCCTCCGCGCCACCTGTGAAACACACTCGGATCACTTTTCAAAGGAGCAGCAGTGCCTGCTGCACTTGTGAATGAGCCCTTAGTTGCATACAGCAGCAGCACCCTGAGGGCTCATTTGCACATAAAGTTGAGGGGTGCAAATGTGTTTGAGTCACGGTTTTACGACCCCCAAAACTCATGCATTCAGGAGTTTTGGTGCACTTTCAGAAAGTGCACCACACCCTGAGGATATAATAGAAGTCTATGGCTAAGCGTAGCAAACCCACAGGAAAGCTGCAGGTACACTGCACTGCACCCGTGGTGTGGGTAAACCACAGCACATCAGTGTGAAAGCAACCCTATACTATTATGTCCAATGTATTGCTTCACACTGACCTGAGGATCTCTTCTTTCCTGCTGCTGGCACCACTCTGGAGACTGCTAGCCAGGATAAGAGGTGAAGTGCATTTGGTATCACTCTGCATGGGACAGTGGTCGGTACTACAGAGGAGGCACTGGCCTATGCGACTCTTGATCCGTACTACAGCTCCAACTTTACAAGTAGTCCCTCTGCATTGCACTCTTTTAGATGTTGTGGGATGGCGGGTCAGCAAGCCCAGAACACGATCTCCCAGTCACCTGGCAGCGATCAACTGATAGATTGTGATCCACTGGTTGCTGACTCCCGGTCTAGTTGTACACGTATTGACTTCTCCGGCTGCGCTAAAGAACATGGAGGAAGGAACCATCATTGCCAGCTATTGTCTTCTAAACCCCGAGAACAAATGGGGCATTGGATTCAGATTTTCTAAGTGTCAGCAAAATTTTCCCTGGGCACATGGGCTCTGGTTTCTGCACAGAGAATGGGCCAGAGAATGGGCCCAGAATTGAGAATCCACATATATACAATCCAACGAGAGGGACAAAAAATGTCCAAGAGGCCAAGGTAATTTAACCTCTTCCTGACCGCCCTATAGCAGAAATACTGCTACAGGGCGGTATGGGTGCACAAAATTACGTATATATACATGATTTTGCATTTCCAGGTAGGGGAGATTTACGTCCGCAGCTCTCAATCACTGGGGCACGGCCGGTGAGTACTCGCTGGCGCCCGGTGATTGCTGATCATCTCCAACGGGGAGGAGGACTGTTTGTAAACAAAACAGTTTTCCTCCCTGTCAGCTCCTGCACACTGTTTTGGATGGCTGTATGCTTACAGTGAAGCACACGGACACAGCCCCTAGTAAAACACAGCACACAGTTAACCCTTTGATTGCCCCTCATGTTAACCCCTTCCTGCCCAGTGCCATTAGTACAGTGTCAGTGCTTTTTATTAGCACTGATCACTGTATTGGTGTCACTGGGAATGTCAGTGACACCAAGTCAGTTCCCCCCAGTGTCAGAATGTCCACCGCAGTCCCACTATAAGTCGCTGATCACCGCCATTACTAGTAAACATTAAAAAAAAAAAAATTTACATGTATTGGGATTTTTTTCAGCGCAGACATGTCGCTGAATACATTTTGGCCTAAATTTATGACAATTTTTTTTTTATTTTTTTACTGAACATGTTTAAGAGCAAAAAGTCAAAAATAGTGTTTTCTTTTCTCAAAATTGTTGGTCTTTTTTTTTTCTTTCACAGAGCAAAAAATAAAAAAACCACACAGGCAATCAAATACCACAAAAGAAAGCTCAATTTGTGGGGGGAAAAATGACATAAATTTCACTTGGGTGCAGCGTGTATGACTGCACAATTGTTACAGTAACGCAGCGCCGTAACGCAAAAAATGGCCTGGTCAGGAAGGGGTGTAAATCCTCAGGAGGGCAAACTGATTTATAGTAGAATAAAGCCAACACATTTTGGGGTCCAAACACACTCCCCCCTTCATCCGAACCAGTAGCCCCGATGAAGGGGGAGTATGTTTGGCCCCTGAAACGCGTTGAATATTTTCTGCTATAAATCCATTTTATTTTTATACAATCCATGAGAGCTCTAAACAAACATTCAAGAGTCCACGGTACTTTGTTAATGACATTGATTCATAGCAGAATAAATCCAATGTGTTTCATCAAGGCTAATAAGTCTGATGAAGGACAAATGTGTTTGATCCCTGAAATGTATTAGCTTTATTCTGCTATGAATCAATTGTATCATTAAATTACCTGTTTTGGCACTCTTATTGAATTGCAAGGCTATTGTATTCTGACAGCCAACCCCCACATCATCCCGGTAACTTCTTCTTTGGCCGTACAGATCTGACTCATGAGGATTCTGAGCCAAATTCCTATACTGTACTGGGGCCAAAAGAAGAAGTCCTATCATTATGCCACATCAGTCCAAAATACAACCACATTTGTCACAACTGCTGTTTTATTATCTTCATAGGAACCAATACATTTTGTAAACAGCTGCTGCCACAAATAAAAATAAAAATTAAAACCCACAGTGATGGTGCAAAGGCGCACACACTTAGCAGTGATGAACTAATCATAGAGATAACAAATATTTCAATAAATGACAAATATTTCAAAAAATTAAACAACCAATAATATTTCAAAGAAATGTCATTAATATGTGAAAAAAAATATATACAGTATATAGTGAAAAAATTGATTAATGTGAATCCAAATAAAACATCACATATTTAAATCCACCATGTGATAAAAACAACTTCCAGTGAAAATGAAAAAAATCCAGTGATTGAAAAAAACAGTGGTCACAGTTATCTCTGATTAGTTCATCAAGTGTGTGCGCCATTTTTACACCATACCTGTGGGTTTTAATTTTTATTGTATTTATTTATATAGTGGCAGCAAGGGATGTTATGATCTTGGCATTTTCACATATGATTTAATTTAATTTATTTTTGCATCTAGCGCGATATTGTGTATTTCACTATTGATTTCATATGCTGCCACAAATTCAGCCACTTGCTTTGTTGGTTGATTTAAAGGAATTTAAATTTAAAGGAAACCTTTTACAACAGACATATGAAGGCTGATACTGCTGACCTCTTGGTGAAAATTCAGCTTTTCTGCCTTCAGTACTTCGGTTGCTGACCTGGAACAGGCTTGTGACCAATGAAGTTGGAATTGTTCTTCTGTACGCACTTGTTTCAGGTCAGTAGATCAAAAAGCATTAAAAACAGAGGTTCAGATTGACAACTAGGCAAAAAAAACTTCCAGGTGGAGATCAGCATATGCAGTACATGTACATACTTGCCTTCTGGCAGATCTCTTTTACCTGGAGAATGAAAACAAGTAGTTCAGAGCATCAGACATTCTCATTATTGCACACAGAGATTTGCAGTCATAAACGGAAACGTCTACATGGCCAGAACCAAATGATTCCTTATACTAGCCATACACGGCTCAAACATTGTCCAATTCCTGCTGAATTGGCTGAAATTCAAGTTGTGGGTGGCCTTGTTAGCACCAACTGGCTCAACAAACTTCAAATGAAAAATCAAAGGAGGTGGGTGGAAAATTGTCAGCTGAAACAGCGACCGCATCCAATCAGATGCAGTCACTGTTTGGGTATTCAGACAGCCGCAGGTGTCGGAAACTGACAGTAGCCATCAAGGAGGATTCCTCTGTCCATATTGTTTAACGCAGATGGAGGAATCTATTGATTTCTCTCTTACAGCCTACAGAATTAGGAAAGGGAATGGAAGGAGGATGCAACCAGGCTCTGCTGACACGGTTAGAAAATCATTCAAAAAGCATTTGATGTGCTTGATCATCTGACTTTTGAGTCCATTTCAAATATTGAAATGCAAAGTTTTATGGCAAAAAACCGAACCGTCATGTCAAAATATTTGAGCCTATACGACCAATTTTTTTTTTTTTTTTTTAAAACATTAGTAGTGCAATCAATTTGAAAGCAGTTAAAAAAAATCTACAGTGCATGCGCATGTTAAAATGTAACCCCATAAGTATAATCAATCAACGAAAAATGTACCATTCATGTTTTTATCGATTGATATTATGTAAATAATTGGGAGACAAATATTGATGCAACGATGGCGTTATTGCATGCATGTTGGACAGATCTTTATCAATCTGACAGCTTTTTTTCCTAACAATTTTCTATATGTATAGAATATACTATGTATGTGTGTGTGTGTGTGTATGTATGTAAGTGTGTGTGTATGTGTGTGTGCGTGTATATATATATATATATATATATATATATATTAATCTCATTACTGATCTTAGAGAAAGTAATCCTGTGTCTGCATAGGGTTTTCCCAGAGTACACTGTATACTTCTGACTTATGGTTGGTATCAGGAGTGTCTGGTCAGTGCATACACATTATTATTATTATACAGGATTTATATAGCGCCAAAAGTTTACACAGCGCTTTACAACATAACAGCAAACCGTACAATTACAATACAAATTAATACAAGAGGATTCAGAGGGCCTTGCTCGTTAGAGCTTACAGTCTAATGCATGTTTGCCAGAAATGATAATAAACGTTTATGCACTAAAATTGTTCTACCATCAGCGTAATAATGGTTTATCAACGCAAATTTTTTTTCAAAGTAACCAGCTATGTAACTTACTAATAACTTTTTTTTTTTTTTCTAACAGTTTAAAGATGTACGGAGGACACAGTGCAAGGTACGCTGCATAAAATAGAAGCTTTCAGAGACACATGATACTCGTACAGCTGTTTATAAACAAAAGCCACCAGCATCACTAATGGCACAATGCCTGTGCGCATAATAGCGCTGAACATGGATGTCGGTCTAATTAAAAAGCAGGACATTACTTTTAAAAGAAGAGCAGTCGAAATGACTAAACCTGACCTCCAGGCAAATAGAAAAGGACACCCTTAAGCCCTCATGCACACTTGACATTTTTATAGCTGCTGTTTTTGGCTTTTGACATTTTTTTCCGCAGCTAGTAACACATAGACTGTAATCAACGTTTTTTTAGCAGGGACCTTTTTTGGCTGGAAAACCAGGACTAGTGGGTTTCTAGAGGACTTTTTTAGCTTTAAAAAAAACTCTAACAATGAAAAACGCAGTAAAACACAGCAAACCAGTGTTTTTGGATTTTTTTTTGGTCCCCAAAAAATTGGGGGTTAAAAAAAAAAACCCTGGAAAACGTGGCTAAACGCTAATGCAAAAACACAAAAAAAAGCTGAAAAACTCACGTTTTTAACATGAATTTACACAGTTAACGTTACCAATGTTATCAAAATGTCCCGTGTGCATGAGGACATATTCTAGTTTTAGCTGTGTTTTAATACAGAAATGAATTAAAGAAAATGGATATCTATTTTCTTCATTTTAATGGGTTAGTTCACCTTTACCAAAAACTGCCTATGAAGATAAAAAGTGTAGATTAAAAAAAATTTGTGCAACTTTGACTAAAGTTGAATAATACCCATACTATTACCTACAGTTGTGCTCAAAAGTTTGCATACCCTGGCAGAAATCATGACATGTTGGCATTGATATTGAAAATATGACTGATCATGGCAAAACACTGTATTTTATTTAAGCATAGTAATCATATGAAGTCAATTATTATCACATAGTTTGGCTCCTTTTTAAATCATAATGATAACAGAAATCCCCCAAATGCCCATGATCAAAAGTTTCCATCACCTAGAATGTTTGGCCTTGGTACAGACACACAAGGTGACACACACAGGTTAAAATGGAAATAAAGGTTAATTTCCCACATCTGGGGCATTTTAAATTGCAATTGGTGTCTGTGTATAAATAGTCAATGAGTTTGTTAGTGCATGCACTGAGCAGGCTAGATACTGAGACATGGGGAGCAGAAAAGAACTGTCAAAAGACCTGTGTAACAACGTAATGGAAGAATAAATTTGGAAAAGGATATAAAAAGATATCCAAAGCCTTGAATATGCCTGTCAGTACTGTTCAATCACTTGATAAGAAGTGGAAAATTCGGGGATTTCTTGATACCAAGCAATGGTCAGGTAGACCAAGAAAGATTGCAGCCACAACTGCTAAAAGAGTTGTTGGGGGCACAAAAAAAACCTCCCAGAACAGGAGAGGGTTAGGGCATGCAAGGAAGGAGGGGGCTGTGCTAAGGAAGTTCAGTGGCTCACTGCAAATCAATAAAAATTCCCCAAGGTGGACCTACCAGGAAAAAAATAAATCTCTGCCCCTGCTTGGTGCCCATGCACTTGAGTGTGGCACAATACTGAGGATCTTCAATTTTTGTCTATTTCCCCTTTTCAATCAAATCTCAATGTAAGTGGCTAGGGGGAGGGGTTAGCACAGTTTAATTTAGTGAATTTAGTTGTTGTTAAAGGTTTAAACGCAGCGTAGGTAATCATGAGTGGGTAGGCGGATGAGGGCTAACACGAGTGGACACGGCATAGACCCCATAGACAAATGAAAACATGTTTAGAACCTGTGGTCATACTTTTCAGGGCAAAGTAGCCATGCAGCATGGAGAAAGTTATAGTTAAATATTTTTCATATAGTGAGTAAACGTTATAATGACTTCAAAAGTAGTTTATTGTTTTGGTCTGGAGTTCCCTTTTAATAATGTTCTTGTCTGCCAGTCCTCTGTAACGTATATTTACTTCATAAACAGTTACAACCATTTCTAACTGATTCAACCTTGTTTCCTGTCTTGTGGTTCTTCCTCCCTCCGCCTAGATTTTTGATTTCCTTTTAGAGCTTGTGTAAGAAAATACACGAGATGTTTCTGAAAGATAGGAAATAATCTTCCTGCTGTTAGTACATAGAGCTTAAAGTGAAACTGCCTGCAGTCCTGCGTGAGAGATTTTCCTTCACTCACTGTCTTGTTCACCACCCAAGTAATGTAATATGATTACATGATATAAAACCTTTGCAAATACAAAATAATCATAATAAAGAGGAGGGGGGAGCAGAGCCATTTTAATAGCATCATGGGCCCCTGGACAAAGTAATGCACTGGGGCCCCTACTAGCGTTCCCCAATTTACACACCTACTTTCTTGAATTAAAGCATAAATAGTTGGTAGAATTAAACACATTGTATATTAATTAATTAATCAATAAAATTGATTTTAAACAATAAGAAAACATACCATAAATCAAAGACTAATCAACACAAAGGGCACAGTATGTGGGGGGGGGGGGGAGGGTCAGAAGGGCATAATACTGGGATCATGAGGACACAGTACAGGTTCTGGGAAGCTGCCCAGGCCATCCTGGGACAGCTTAGTAAAAAGTGTGACTGTCCTAGCAAATCCAGGATAGTTGACAAGTATGATGTAAGGCAAGATTATCATGGAGCCCGCATGCACCTAGGGCCCCTGGGCAGTGCCCAGAGGTACCCATGCATTAAGACAGCCCTGAGAAAGAGGGGTCTTCAACAGTGATGCAGACAGTAACAACAACCTGCCAGACCAACTGCTGGCGCAATCCCACCGTCTTCTAAAGCCATCTAGTTCTCATATCAGAGTATTCTCATCTCCTGAAAGTTTGAACCCCAATAAGGGAGCCCTCTATACCTTTGAAATGCTTTGGTTTGTTAGCTGACTTTTCATTCATTAAAGAATTTTATTTTTTTGGACTTTAAGACTGCCATGGTGTTTACTTTTTTATATATCTTTCTGGATCTCTATCTAGTTGACTTTTGGTTCGATGGTCAGACCTTTGAGACATGGAGACAAAGGACTTTAAAGTAGACCAAGTATTAGCCCCACAGAACTTAAAAAACCACCACAGAACCTGGACTGCTGTCTAAAATACATTGTCTGTTACTGGGCAATTCAGACTTTTAATAAACAAATCTATAAATAACAGGAAAATATTCAGTCATAAACAATCCTCATAAAATAATGATTGCAGATCCTTGAATACACCACCTTCCACAACATTGGAGTTTGTGGTACCATTAGGTTATGTTGTATCCCTAGCCACCAAACACTGCCTTAGGGACTATCCTAACTGACCAGAGACGCCTATCAACCTTACACTACCCGGTCAGTCTAAATTGAACAAGACCAACCGGAGGACTCCATACCTGAGATGGGTCCCACCATTTTATCAATAGACACCATGTTTTAGACCCCAAGTCAAGGACCCCAAATGCACCCACCACATCAAGAACGGCAAAACTAAATCAACAGGGTGGGAGGGAGGAATGTTCCTCTGATGATTTCCAGTCTGCAAGTGACATCCCCTCACTCCTCCACACCAACTACACCCTCTCCTGTTCCTCCCCATCACCCTGTCTGCTCAGCCAATCAGGTAAGAGTCCTAACATTTCATACCCTAACAACTACATAAGCCCCCTACTGTCAGTTTTTCCTTAGACTCTATTATATATGCCCTTTGCTTATTTACTTCTTTCAAAGTTCCGGAGATGTCTTACAGGAAAAAAAAAAAGACTTCAAGGATGACCTCCAGGTACATATCCAACCACAGTAAAACCAACAATATTTATTGCAAAATGCCTAAAATAGTTTTACAGTATAATAAAAAAAAAAGGTAAAGTATTCCAGAAACCACTTGTCCTGATTAATCTAGCGTTTCAAGGTTGGTCCACTTCTTCAGGACTGTAATCTAGCCCATGCATGTATTTTTTATACTTCTCTTCATCTATGATAAAATTACAAATCCGTTTACAGAAACAACTGTTGAGTATAAAATACATGCATGTCCTAGGATATAGTCCTGAAAAGCGGACCAACTGAAAAAGCTAATAAACTAATCAGGAAATTTTTTTATGGCATAATTTAACTTTTTTATTCTGTAAAACAATTTTTAACAATTTTCTAATAAAAAATGGTTGGTGTTACTATGGTTGGATACGTACCTGGCGGTCATCCTTGAAGTCCCTTTCTTTTTCCTGTATGTATTTTGTCTTTAGAACCCCTGAAACACTTTGGCTGTACCTTTATGCCAACACATTCTGTGATTAATAAATTGATTTGGGGCTGTAAAGAGGGTTTGGCGCACTTCTTCCTGCAATCCTTCTATATAGTAAAAAGCCTTTCATTTTATGACAGTTTTGTCCAGATTTACACTTAAATTTAACCTACAGCATACTGGCTTTGCACCTACAAGCTCCTGAGTACATGTATAGAGGTGCATTTAGAATACATGCCTTTCAACTTTCTGAAATGGCAGAAGGGAACCTTTTTGGTACAAATAATTAAGGCAAAGGACACAACACGGTCATGTCCACAATCACTTGGACCTCAAAGAATTCATGCACAAAATTATAGTTTATTCATTCCATTGATGTTTAATTTTACTGCCACTATTCCTTTCTAGTGGCAGTTAAAAATTACTGAGATCATTTATAGGTTGGGTTAAAATCCTAGTGAAATACAGTATAAACACTTTGAAGTGAACATTTTCTGCTACGACAGTGTCATGGGAATGTAGTGAGAGTCCATATACCCTATTTAGATTTCTTTGGTTTCCTGATTGGCCATTAGCATTTTTTGTTTGTGTGTTAGGAAGACTGTGATAACATTTGTTGGTTTAGCAAAAGAGTAATTTTAAATAAGTCTGTAATTTAAAGTGTTACTAAATCCACAACAGTAAAATCAGTCTGTATATGCAGTAAAGCATGCTTGTTATACTCATTGTGGAACCTGTCTTCTCTGATCCTCCCCTTCTTCCACAGTCCCTAATCCATCTGCTGATTGCACAGAGCTCTAGGAGTCACTCTGCACATGCTCAGTTTGATATGTATTGCAAGAGCGTTTTTTTTTTTTTTTTTTTTTTTTTTTTTTTTTTTTGGGGGGGGGGGGGGGGGGGGATTCATGTGATCCGCACAGGGACAATCGATGCTGTCCATATAGAGGGTCAGGGGTCATGCTGTCTCATAGGACAGTCAGAGGAGGATGAAAACTCCACTTACAAGATTAACCAGTGCTTGGCTGGACACTGATAGAAGTCACAACACTGCTATATACTTCTGTGAAAAGGTATTTAGTAGTTTATATTTACTAAACTAATTGCATTTCCCTGTTCTGTGTACTACGGGAGACCAGATATAGTGACTGCAGGGTCCTGGCTTTAGTAACACTTTAAGTTGCAATCAGGGGGGCAGACTGACAACTCATAGGGCCCCTTTGCCCAAACTCAAAAAAAAAGCCTATGAAAAGGGTACCAGGGGCATCTCATGGGGCCCCCTACTGACCCCGGGCCCTCGGGCAGTGCCCGAGTTTCCAAATGGTCAGTCCGCCCCTGGTTGCAATGATGGTTCAGTGCTAAAATCAGTGTTATCTCTTGGCATTTTTACACCTAACAGTAGGCGCTCATCCTCATAATGATTGAATTGGCCAGTAAACCCACCAGTGTTGATGGCTTTATTTAAATGGTGTCAATTGCCAGTCCCAGCATAATTGCCTGGGGGCTGGAACAAAGACTTGGCAGTGTGTGAGCTCTGGCATGAGCAACTTGGAGCTTATACAGGAGTCATACACTACCTTCAAGCTGAACTCTGGACAATTCTCCCTCTTAACTAACCACTATTAGTTATAAAAAAAATCTGAAGGCCAAACTGTTCATCTACATTCATAGTCACTATGTTTTCTGCAGAGGAGGAGGATTCTTTTTTGGCTGTCCACTGGCTGGGTGATTTGACTTGGACACATTCTATTGGATGTTCAGCAGTGAGATATTCCCAGGATGTAGAAGCAGCAGAGTTGTGATGACAAGTACTGAAATTTGAAACAACTGCTCTAAATCTTTGTAAATCAATCAGCTATTAACCACTTGCCTACCAGGCACTTATACCCCCTTCCTTACCAGGCCAATTTTCAGCTTTCAGCGCTGCCGCACTTTGATTGACAATTGCGCGGTCATGCAACATTGTACCCATATGAAATTTTGATCATTTTTTTCTCACAAATAGAGCTTTCTTTTGGTGGTATTTAATCGCCACTGGGCGCTTTACTTTTTGCCCTATAAATTAAAAAAAGTGCAAAAAATTTGAAAAAAAAAAAAAAAAGTTTATTTGTTTCTTTTATAAAATTTTTCAAACAGGCATTTTTTCTCCTTCACTGATTTGCGTTGATGAGGCGGCACTGATGGGCACTGATAGGCAGCACTAAAGGGCACTGATAGGCAGTACTAATGAGGTGGCACGGATAGGCGGCACTGATAGGTGACACTGATGATGGGTACTGATAGACGGCACTGACTGGCATCACTTCTGGGCAGTGACTGGCGGCACTGACTGGCACAACCCCTGGGCACTGACTGGTGGCACTGACTGGCAGCACTGCTGGGCTGCACTGGTGGGTGGCACTGGTGGGCAGCACTGGTGGGTGGGCACAGGTGGGTGGCACTGGTGGGCACAGGTGGGTGGCACTGGTGGGCACAGGTGGGTGGGCACAGGTGGGTGGCACTGCTGGGCACATGTAGGTGGCACTTCTGGGCACAGGTAGGTGGCACTGCAGAGTGGCACAGGTGGGGGCACTGCTGGGCACAGGTGGGGGCACTGCTGGGAACGGGTGGGCGGGGCTAGTGGGCGCACTGCTGGGCGGAACTTGCGGGTGTCACTGCTGGGCACCGATCATCAGGGCACTGATCATCAGTGCCCTGATGATTGGTGCCGATCCCCGCTCTGACAACTGCCGGTTCTCGGCAGTACTTTCCTCACGATCTGACAGCGTGAGGAAAGTGCAGCCAAGAACCGGCACTTGCATTTCCCTGTGATCAGCGTGTCATTGGACACCGCTGATCACGTGGTAAAAGGCCGGTGGGATCGGCCTTTCACCACATCACGTGATCAGCTGTGTCCGTAGGACACAGCGATCACGGAGATCGCCGGGTGCGTGCCCCCTGGGGCGCGCAGGAGAGCGCGTTCTGGGAGGACGTCATATGACGTCCACTCAGAACTGGCCGGCCGCGGTGAAGCCGTCATTCGGCTATGCGCGGTCGGCAAGAGGTTAAAGCTACAATTGATCTGTTGCATACTTGTGTGAAGTACAGTTACCTAAGTGTCCCTAACCTAAAAAGTAATTTTAACAGTAAAACAAACCCAAACCATTAACAATCCTCTACCTGAGACCTTAAATCTAAACCTCCCTTGAAACAACGTTCAGTCCTCTACCCAAAATTTACTGTATATATATATACAGTCAGGTCCATAAATATTGGGTCAACGACACAATTCTAACATTTTTGACTCTATACACCACCACAATGGATTTGAAATGAAACGAACAAGATGTGCATTAACTGCAGACTGTCAGCTTTAATTTGAGGGTATTTACATCCAAATCAGGTGAACGGTGTAGGAATTACAACAGTTTGCATATGTGATCCCACTTGTTAAGGGACCAAAAGTAATGGGACAATTGGCTTCTCAGCTGTTCCATGGCCAGGTGTGTGTTATTCCCTCATTATCCCAATTACAATGAGCAGATAAAAGGTCCAGAGTTCATTTCAAGTGTGCTATTTGCCTTTGGAATCTGTTGCTGTCAACTCTCAAGATGGGATCCAAAGAGCTGTCACTATCAGTAAAGCAAGCCATCATTAGGCTGAAAAAAAAAAAAAACAAACCCATCAGAGAGATAACAAAAACATTAGGCGTGGTCAAAACAACTGTTTGGAACATTCTTAAAAAGAAGGAACGCATCGGTGAGCTCAGCAACACCAAAAGACCCGGAAGACCACGGAAAACAACTGTGGTGGATGACTGAAGAATTCTTTCCCTGGTGAAGAAAACACCCTTCACAACAGTTGGCCAGATCAAGAACACTCTCCAGGAGGTAGGTGTATGTGTCAAAGTCAACAATCAAGAGAAGACTTCACCAGAGTGAATACAGAGGGTTCACCACGATGTAAACCATTGGTGAGCCTCAAAAACAGGAAGGCCAGATTAGAGTTTTGCCAAACGACATCTAAAAAGCCTTCACAGTTCTGGAACAACATCCTATGGACAGATGAGACCAAGATCAACTTGTACCAGAGTGATGGGAAGAGAAGAGTATGGAGAAGGAAAGGAACTGCTCATGATCCTAAGCATACCACCTCATCAGTGAAGCATGGTGGTGGTAGTGTCATGGCATGGGCATGTATGGCTGCCAATGGAACTGGTTCTCTTGTATTAATTGATGATGTGACTGCTGACAAAAGCAGCAGGATGAATTCTGAAGTGTTTCGGGCAATATTATCTGCTCATATTCAGCCAAATGCTTCACAACTCATTGGACGCTGCTTCACAGTGCAGATGGACAATGACCCAAAGCATACTGCAAAAGCAACCAAAGAGTTTTTTAAGGGAAAAAAGTGGAATGTTATGCAATGGCCAAGTCAATCACCTGACCTGAATCCGACTGTGCATGCATTTCACTTGCTGAAGACAAAACTGAAGGGAAAATGCCCCAAGAACAAGCAGGAACTGAAGACAGTTGGAGTAGAGGCCTGGCAGAGCATCACCAGGGATGAAAGCCAGTGTCTGGTGATGTCTATGCGTTCCAGACTTCAGGCTGTAATTGACTGCAAAGGATTTGCAACCAAGTATTAAAAATTGAAAGTTTGATTTATGATTATTATTCTGTCCCATTACTTTTGGTCCCTTAACAAGTGGGAGGCACATAGGCAAACTGTTGTAATTCCTACACCGTTCACCTGATTTGGATGCAAATACCCTCAAATCAAAGCTGGCAGTCTGCAGTTAAAGCACATCTTGTTCGTTTCATTTCAAATCCATCATGGTGGTGTATAGAGCCAAAAATGTTAGAATTGTGTTAATGTCCCAATATTTATGGACCTGACTGTGTATATATATATATATATATATATATATATATATATATATATATATATATATATATATATAGTTGTGTTTTTGACGGGTGCTGGGGAGTTGAATCATTTGCAGTTTCTTCTGTCTTTCGGGGATTGGTAAATTCTCTGTGTTGAGTTTGTGGCTATGCACACCTACTGTGCTTAAAATTATGGGTTTCCATTATCCTTGCTAGGTTTTTATATTCAATATTAAAATGAATGTAACAGGAGCTGGAACACACACAGGTGGGCATGAATCCCCAAAATTCCCAGGAGGACAGTTGGAAATTATGGCAGGTATTTGGAGAGCAGGGAGTCTTGGTAGAGACAAAGCCATGATTCAGGCATTATAAATATATGCTATGTCCATTATATTTAATTAGGAGGCAAACTTTCAACTTGGAATGGACCGTACTTTAATCTTTGTCATTTAAATTTTTTCCTTTGCCGCAGAGATCTTCGCTTCCCCCAGTCCGTTTCAGAGCCGGGGCTCCACATTTTCCGCATTGAAAAGATGAAGTTAATCTCGATGCCAGCAGAGAGTCATGGCGTGTTTCACTCTGGGGACACCTACCTGCTGGTCCTCAACTCACCCGAAGGCAACAGCATCTATGTCTGGAATGGTAAGGCTTAGAGAGATAGCATTGCCCAGTGTTTGCTCCCAAGGTTACAGCTTAATGGGTTGCAACTGCTCCATCAATGAATCCTGTTCTTGGCTATGGCCCCCAATCAGACCTTTTCTGTAGATTTCTTTGTAAATTTGTATCTGCTAGGCTTTTCATGAGAATGCCATGTGCATAGTGTCCTACCAAACCACAGCCTAACTTTCATTTCTCTTTCAACAAAGCTGCTTTAAAAGACACGTGATTTTAAGGTTAGCATTTAGAAGCATAGGGAACATTTTGTAAATTCCTAAAATAAGCTGATTTTGCCAAGGAGATCCATGGAAATAGTTCCTTTTTTCCATTTTCGGTTGTAAAGATAATCTTTATGTGTATTTTACTATTTCATTGTAAAATAATCAAATGATAACACAAGTGACACCTGCAACTCCTGTAACTTTAAAGATTCATTTTGATATTGTTTGACAAATACATGTGTAACTTGCAAGCATGTTTTTCATTGGAGAGAATCTTTCATGGTCACAGAACAATTTTTTCCCAAAGCTATATTCCTAAGGAACTAGGCACAATTCTGGCAATCACTATCTTTAATGCCTTTTTTGCTATTGGTAGAAAGACTGCTGAACTTCCATTGTTAATCACCCACATCTACTTATGATGTACCCTCATGCCACGTGCATGCAGTAACACAGCCATGACTATTTGGGAGTAGCTACTGAATGTTCTGTGTAAATTTAACCCAAACCTGATTTTGTTTTAGTTTTGAGTGGGGCTGACATGAAAAAGTTGTAAGTTCTGATGAAGTACTTCTGCTTTACCACACTACTTAACTCTTGCTCTGGTCCATATACAGGAAATGGAACGTCGGTTGATGAAAAGGCAGCTGGAGCCATCTACAGCTCCCAGCTTCACATGTATTTGGGTGAGAAGCCTACTCAGAACCATGAGACGCAGGGACACGAGAGTGTAGAGTTCATGTCCTTATTCCCACGGGGGGTGACATATTTGGTACGTAAGAACCTTTGTTCAATTATCTCTTGGGGGTTTAGTGAAGCTCAGTCTTTAGTGTGTCTCAATATGCTTTCCATAGGTTGGATGTGTTTAAGGATGGATCCTGCATACAGAAAGTGACTTGAGCTTACTGTGTGGCACACTAAACTGAATACATTCTACAGCATTGTTCACATTAACACTGTTATCACCGTTCATCTCAATGGCTCTCCATGAAAGCCTATGTGAGCATTAGAATACATATGAAAGAGTAGCACTGGCCTAGTGCATTACTGTTGGACTTTTTATTAGATAAAATAAAATCCAATATACTCACAAAGGGAATAAGGTCAAATGCATGTAACAATTCCCATCACAATATCAGCAATATGTCCACCAAGTAGGCACAGCTTACTCATTTCAAGGGTAATGCCCTCTTTCTCAGAGCTCTAAGGACTTCAGTGGTGGAGACTTTTAGTTGATCTAACTGTCAAGATTGAAGAAATGCCAATTCTGAGTTTCACTAGGATTTGATTGTCTGGAGGGCCTCCTTACCTGTAGCGCTGACTATTGTTCTGTTTATTAGAATACATATGGTCGCAAATTGCCTGTGTGTTGGTGTGCACTTGACTTTAGCGTGCTGAGATACCTTTAATGGAAATAAACCTAAAAAAATGCTAACAAGTAGAATTTTTATGAGAGAAGAGACCCTATTGGTGTCTTCTGTCAGAAGCCCTTCTCCCTGCCTGTCAGTGTTTACGTACGCAAACCCATGCATGTGCAACTCAGTATACAAATACAACACTGCTAAGTGAGATGATGTGACTGTCGTGCGCATACATGGGAATAATGCCATTGTGGCCCAGCCAACAAAGTGGCCAAATAATTGGAACCCAGAAGTTAGACCAGAAGACTGCATCACGCATGACTGGTGGGAGCCCTGACAATGGAGCGATGGAGGGGATCATTTGCCAACTAAGTTTGACATTTTTTTGCTATAATGCTTTGAATGCTAGCATATTAAGGCTTAAAGCTCCTGGGGCCCAATAAATAAAAACATTTTGGCGGAGTGATTATTCCACTTTCAATGCTGAGAAGCATTTTCAACAACAGATTCTCACCTCTTCTTTAAGGTAGGTCTTGCTCAGATAAACACCAGAACAATTTTTTATTGGAAAGGCAAGGTCATAGCTTTCTTGGGTTAAATTCTGTGCTATTCACAGATAAAATATGAGCACTAAATTGACATATTTTAGCCTAAACAGCTGTCTTACGGCCCATGCACTTGGATGCAAAGAACTGTACACCAAGCAGATGTGCATTTATGCTCTCAGGAGTCACAGGTGTTTGCATACAGCCTTGGCAATCAACCTGTTAAATGCTGTCAGGTGGCAGGTAGGGTGGCAGTTTGAAACCTTTTATTATACACAAGAATGTGTTACTGACAGTTACATGTGTGAATGTGAGCTGTCACTGGCAACCTTGCAGATTTTAGCCATTGCTTATGTTCACCATACAAAAATTGGCCCTACGGGACCCTGTATGAAGATCCCTGCTTCCCATCTGTTACAGTTCTGACAGAACAATTCCGATGACTAAATGATCTGTCAATAAGGGTGTTGTTTGCACTATTATATAGGTAGTTTGATGGATATGGGTGAAATTTGGACAAACTGGACACATGGTCTAAAAGATGCATGCAGCTTTGGGTGGAGGTCACCACATGAATTCAAAAAACATTATTTCTGTTGAGTACTCTTAGGAACCACCTTTTGGGTTATTAGATCAGGGATTGCAAAAAAAGCTAATACTTTGTGGCTCCAGTTGAAATTTACAAATATGTATAGTGATGCTTTCTGGCTTTATGTCCCTAGAAAGGCTGAGAGCTCTGGGGGCAACTCTCTGACCTCCAACACACTGATTTTAAAGTCTGACAGCAACCCAACCAAACACCACAAAGAACAGGGAACTCTCGTAGGGTTTGTGCAGTTTAATATCTTTTGCACAGTCTATTTACATTTAGTAAATCAACCCCCATGTGCCTATATTTCTAAATGCCTTCCTTCAACATTACAGCCTGAAAATTATTTCGTTCACATATCTTTCATGAGAATAACGTGTATAATATGCCATGCCAGGAGTTATTACACTAAACCACATGTAACCATTAAATCAGCCCTGGAAGGCCAAATATTTTTAAGACAGTTTTCCTTTAGCTTAGCTGTTAAATTCCCAAAGCCGAATTCCAGCTTTCTTTTTTTAATCAGCAGCCCTGCACAAGTAAATAATTTGGCTCCTATATAAGTTTTTGAAAGGTTTTTCACACCTTATATCTGGCCTTATGTGACCCATGCTGTTTATTATTATTATTATTATGCAGGATTTATATAGCCAACAGTTTGCTCAGCACTTTACAATATAACGGGAGACAATACAGCAACAATACAGTTCAATACAAGAGGGTTAGGAAGGCCCTGCTCCTTGGAGCTTACAATCTAAGAGGGAGGGGCTAGTGGTACAAAAGGTAATAACTGTGGGGGATGGGCTGGTAGGAGGAATAGAAGATTCCATTATTAGCTGAAGGCAGGATAGGCTCCCTGAAGGGAGAGGTTTTCAGAGATCGCCTAAAAGTGAATAGAGTCAGCGATAGTCTGATAAATTGGGGTAGAGAGTTCCAGAGGATGGAGGAAGCTCTGGAGATGAGCATGGGAGGAGGGGACAGAGGAGCTAGAGAGTAGGAGGTTGTGCGAGGAGTGGAGAGTGCGGTTTGGGTGATATTTGGAGACAAGATTGGTGATGTAATTTGGGGCAGAGTTATAAATGGCTTTATATGTTATTTATGTTTTGAACTTTATTCGTTGGGCAACGGGAAGCTAATGGAGGGAATGGCAGAGAAGGATGGCAGATATGGAATGGTTAATAAGGTGGATGAGTCTGGCAGCAGCATTCAAAATAGACTGAAGAGGACATAGCCTGCAATTAGGTAGGCCAATGAGGAGGGAGTTACAATAATTAAGGTGAGAGATAACAAGGGAGTGAATAAGTTGCTTAGTGGTTTCAGAGGTTAGGAACGGGTGTATCTTGGAGATGTTGCGGAGGTGAAGTTAAGACTCTGTGACGGGACTCACTTTGGGTGGGGGGCCCATGGGACCCAGCTCACCCCTGTCTCAGCTCCCCATATCCCTATTATGTGTAAGTCACCCTGTGCCTGTTAGGGGTACAGGGTGATCTGTCCTAATATTGTGTAGACATGTATAGGAGATAGGTGGGGTGGGGGTTGTGGATTGTTTGATGTTATGTGGTTGCATCCCATTGTTCTATTGTGTGTCTGGTTTGGGAGCAAACTATTATGGGATGTATGTGTTTATGTGTATTAGCTTAGTAGGGGGCTGTCTCCAGCAGCCCTCCCTCCTGATGGGACTGTCTGCTAGTGTGAAGTTTGAATACCTGTGGGTCTCTTGTTACTAAATGTAGATTGCCCCACCCTGTGTCATTATGCAGGGAGGGGGGATTGCCCCCTGAGTGTATGTATCGTGTATCTGTGTTAAAATAAATTAGTATACTCTGGTTTACTTCAAGATTGGTGTCATCTAGTCTTGTATGGTCATCTGTGTTGTCTGCTGTCGGTGTTCGGACGGGGAAGCGGTATTCTAATGAAAGTACCCAAGTGCAGTCTGGGTCTGTTCCGTTACAGACTCCTTCTATCCCCACTTCTGATGATTGTCTCCCTTTTGACTATAGCTTGATGAAACTGCTAGAGGACATGGGACAATGCAGATTGAAAAGCTAGTAAAACAGTGCTAGCTACAGTACGAACCCCAAGCAATCTGCTGAAAGTATTTTTCATGTTTTCCTGTACAACCCCTGTAAGCCATTTTTTTCACCATTTTTTCAGCCTTTCACTGTTACTTTGTATGCTTTTATCACAGGAAGGAGGGGTCTCCTCGGGTTTCCATCGTGCAGAGAAGGACCCAGCGACCCCTACCCACCATCTTTACCATGTGCGAGGTCGCAAAACACATTCGTGCAGTTGAGACAGTTCCAACATGGGACAGCTTCAACACAGGTGACTGTTTCATACTGGACACAGGAAAGGTACTTTTTTTTTTTTTTCTTCTATTTTTTTTTTTTTAGTAGGGTTTAGTCTAGTTCAACTGAAAGTCCTTTCCATAGGGCGAATTTTCAGGTCACTAAATAGAACTTAAATTTTGACCTCCTGTCCTGGTAATGGGAGGGTAGCTGACTGCACTACCTCACAGGTTATGTACAGTGTGTGACAAACCCTCATTGACACCCTGATTGACAACAAAGCCCATGCAGGAGCAGAGCCAGGAAAGTTCCTTTTAGATCATGAGACAGCTTAGTTTGACTAAGGAAAGGCATGATGAGAGGGAGAAGAGGAATTCATGTTCTTCCCATCAGAGGCATATGGACACCATATAGTCAGTTGGGAAAGGGGGGGCTTAAATTTGGATGTCTTCCTTCCCTTGATTTCATTATCTAAAAAAAATCCAATTCTAATGCTCGCTATACACTAGCAGAATTGTGGATTCTTAGAACGTTCTTTCTTGCCATCATTGAGTCAACTAATTTTGTTCGAAAGCCCTTACAATATCATCCAGATCTGCTAATTTAATGTAATCCCAGACCATTAAATAGGTTTCATCACAATATGTGTGCTTTTTTCCAAACAAAAAAGAACATTCATGGTTATTTTAGTCATTTGAGCATAATTTTCCATCCTGCTCCTTCAAATATTTTTTATCACTACAGTTGAAAAAGAACGTCAATTTGACCACAAATGAATATTCTGAAAATGAACATTTTCATACAAAATTCTACTAGTGTATAGAAAGCTTAAGAAATCTCAGACAGAGTTTTTTTCCAAGGCCCCTTAACTAGGGCAAGGGGAGGACTAGACTAGTGGATATTTGCCTTCTTGGCTAGTACGAATAAGCTTTGTTTGACTGGTAGCCCTGAAAGGAGATACTTTACGAACCAAACATTCATGAAAGTAGGACCCACAGTAAAAGGAGATTATAATTATATAGCTACAGTCTGGCTGTCTGGTTTCTTGTTCAGACTCACGATCACTGCGCCAGGCAGGGTCTTCCAGCACAAACTTCCTTTCCTGCTCTAAGATATAATGCAATCAAATGCCAAGAGACACAAATTAAACTGATTCTGGAAGATGTGTGTTGGAACTGAGGAGGAAAGAGGAACAGGGAGATATGACTTCAAAAGAGGAACTGTCACTCCAAAAGAGGAACTTTTGGGAGCTATGGTTTAAGGTATGAAAGTAGTCATGGACCTTAGATGGCAGGTGTTCAAGCACAATTCATTCATCAGGAGAGGGCCTTTTCTTCATGAATAAATAGATAAGTTCAGGTCAACCAGGCATTCATATTTATAATATAGAAGAATGGAGGGCAGGGAACATCTACAGAACTGACGTTCCTCAGGGGAAACAATTTCATACTTCCTAGCTTTCTGACATTTTTTATCACATAGTATGCTGGTAAGGGAAATGTCCCTGACATGGCCCTGGTTACATGGAACACATAGATCTAATATGCAGAAAATGATTAGCTAAATCATACATATGCTTTTTTACTTCTATTTTGCCTTTTTATATTGGTTTTTCTAAATAACGGATGTAGAAATATTGAGGTTGGGTAAAACGTTAGTGCAGCATAACACTTTTGGTAGAAAAATAGTACATTAGACAACTGAGACTGCACAAGGGACAGAAGGGTATGGTATCAAAAAAAGGACAGTCCTTCCAAATGAGGGACAGTTGGTAGCTATGCAATAGTGCTTGGAACTTGTCTGTTTGAACTTTCCCTTTATGAATGCAAGAGCTAGATTTCTCTGTAAGCCACTTAGGCCATAGCCTAGATACATGACTAGCCTAGGTTCAAATTTGTTGGCAACCGTTAAAGTCTTACACAGCCAAATGTCAACCAATCCCCCAATTTTTCCTTATATCTATTTATTTGAAGCTCCCATATTTGTCAAAACCCACCCAGAGCTGAAGTTCATCTCCAGCCAACTTGCTCCCACCTCACTGTGTGCTGAGACATACGTTGGAGCATGTGTGCTTTTGGTTGTGCCAATACAGTACAGATTGTGTCTCTGTGGGCATGTTGACCTATGTTTTGAAACGTTATGTTGATTTGTGTTCTATTTTTTCAATTCACTTAAGTAATGTTTAATCCACTGTATAGGTTATTATTTCTCATGTTCATGTGAAACAGTACCTGTGTCCTGTATGAGCTTGTATTGGTAGAGGTGAAAAAATATAAGTCCAGGCTTGCTGACCGCATCCAAACAAAAAGAAAATGTCCAGATTGCACAGCAATTACGGTATCTTATGTCTGTAACCAGCCAGTTTGACAATAAATGTCTGTCTGGTCCACAAGTGATGAATGTGATCATCCCATGTGACATGGTTTAGTGAAACCTCTGCTGCTTCTTTCCTAGGCTGTCCTCATCATTTTCAGCTGGACTTTTGTAACCTTCTTCTAGAATGTATGAGCTCTGACTTTTATCTTTCACTGGACAGTGTACTCATCTCTTCTCTTCTGTCTGAAGTTGATCCTTTTACTTTCTCTCCCCTTCTACAGTAATCAGGTAATATTTTTTCTGTGTTCCATGCTCTTTCATATTGCTCTTTTTACTGCACTTACCTCTAAATTGGTTACTCCATGGTAGGCTTATTGTCGCACAATACAAATACTATAGCATATTTGCAATTAAAGTGAATTTCCACCCCATACTGTTTTCTAGCTTTGGATATAGCTGGGATGGGTTAGAAATTTGCCATTGCTGAATCTGCTAGTGAAAATCGGTGATCCAGCAATGAAGTCTCTGCCTGGTCAAACTGGTCCCTTTTTTGTGACATCATCATGATGCTACAGTTTTCTTATCCTGAAAGGGCTCTACTGCTGGACAGATAATTCAAAATGTTTACATCACCCAAGCAATGTCAGGAACCCATGAAGTAGGGTTCTCCTCCTCTGCAAGGAAGAATAAAGAAAACTAGGGACCTGGCTTGTCACATGACTATAGATTCAGGACATATTTGGGACATATAGCTTTGTTAAAATATAACTGAAGGCAAAACCTTTCAGTTTTGGACAGAGGGGAGATGAATTAGAACACCGGTCAGTTTTATTGCTGTCTGTGCCTCTGTTAGGGAAACGGACCCATCTTATTTGTCCTGTTTACCATTATTGTTGAAAGTGAGAGAAAATACCAAAGTTGGGTTGACTTCAGAACAGGAATAGAGGGGAAATCTTCCAATGAGGACACTAATTCTGGTGATCTGAGGGACCCCAAGAGATTCCCTGAGTTTGTGAAGATTTCCTCTCACTTCCTGTTTTGGCTATGGGACAGGACATTAAGGTAAATCTCCCCAATGGTACACAGATGGCAAAAAAATGACAGGGATTATAATCCTCCCTTACCCTATCCAAAATGAAAAAAAAAAAAGTTTTGCCTATAGTTCTACTTTTTTTAATGACCCAGTGATATTTTTTGAGCAAAGGGTGTTCAGGGAACTAATGTATGCCCATAGATCATAGATAGATGTAAGTAAAGTAGGGGGGGAGCTAGGACTTGTTCTGCTTTTTTTTTTTTTTACATTTTTTGTTTCTGTTGAAGATATTTGCTTACTTCCTGTCTAATAAAAGTGTTTTCACCGGAACAAAAAGTGATGAAAAATCACCTGAAGCACATTGAAACCTGACAGTACAAACCCAACAGAGGTTCAAATCTATCCTTGCCGTATCCTAAAGTAAAAATAAGTTTTGCCTGAACATGCAGTTTAAAGAAAATTTGAACTGAGGGCTGCCATTGCTTATTTACTTCTGACAATGCTAGTTTCCTGGCGGTCCCTTTTAGTAGTTTGAGACACTGACTTGAAACAAACATTAAGATCGGGAAAGTCAAAGTATATTCATAACACCTAGATTGAATATTTTCATGTTTTAGTGACTTTGAAAGTAGTAAAGCCATTGGATCAACAGGACCAACCAAAGACTGGTATTTTTTAAAGGGAGCGGCCAGCAATGGTAGACTAATTTGGAGTTAAAAACTGGAAAGTGCATAATCTGGTGCAGCTCTGCATAGAAACCAATCAGCTTCAAGGTTTTATTGCCGAAGCTTAACTGAACAAGCTGACGTTAGAAGCTGATTGGCTACTATGCACAGCTGCACTAGATTCTGAGTGCACCAGTTTTAGTAATCTCCCCCATTATGTCTTCCCTGTAGGTTTTCTTTCATGCAGACAATTGGATGTTGCATTTGCAGTAAAGCTTGCAGGTTAGAACATTTTAGGCACAATGCCACTGTTCTCTGCTGCTGGAACCCTTTTAAGTGCATATAAGGGATTGTTTTAATTTTGTAATATTCAGATACTCCTTCTTTGGTTATTAAAGAGGAAATTTACCCAGTTTCAGTTATGGGCAAATACCAGCTCATTGAATTAGCTCTTATTACAACAGTTTTGGTACCTATACTGAGCTAGAGCAATAAAAACATCAATCTGAATATTTGCTAGTGGCAATGATAACATTTGTTCCTTCCAATTTTGATCTTGTACAGTCCAAAATACAATAATTTCAAACCTGAAACATTGTATATATACCTGACAATCAAAAAAGTTGATTATTGTTCCCGTTCATGTTATAACTATTTAAAAGAATGAAAGTAATAAATTAGGATTACTGAAATATCTTTCCTCACCACTTCAGTTTATTTACGTCTGGTCGGGATCTCAGTCAAACATGATGGAGAAGAACCGTGCAAGAGATCTGGCCAATCAAATTCGAGACAGTGAAAGACGCGGTGCTGCAAAAGTGGAAATTATACAGGAAGGGGAGGAGCCTGAGGAAATGGTTCAGGTACTTTTTGTCTGTATTAACATGTACTGTTATGTTTGGGTGACGGTGCTGAACCACTAGAAAAAAAGTTTGGTGTTGATGGATACATTTTTGAGGTGAGTATTCCTTCCATTGGTTGGTACCCAATGGTGGGATAATGGCAGCAGTTCTTGGGCTCTCATATGAAACTGAAAATGTTTCAGTGGGAGCCGCATGGATTGCTATGGAGGAAAACTCGGTAACAAAAGATCATCTCACTCAAGGATTTATTTGAGGAATTTATTGAAGATAATGGGTAGCAAGTATAGCCAATGTGTTTCAGGGGAATTGCCTTCCCCTTCCTCAGGACTGAAATTTTTGATGAGTTCAAAAGAGCAATGAAGCTTAGACTGAGGCTTGTTTTAAGGCTGTTGGCACTTCCTATGGCTGCAAAGTGTCAGTGTATATTAAAAATAGGGTGTCTATTTTTTTTCAAAATGCTGATGCTCTGTAGCCACAAGAAGTTCCAGTGGCCTTACAGAAGCCTCAGTATAAGCTTCATTGCTGTTTTGAACTCACCTGGAATTTCAGCCATGAGGAAGAGGAAGGCAATTTCCCCGAGACACGCTGGCTATACTTATTACCCATTATCTTCAATAAATGTCTCAAATAAACACTCAAGTGAGACAATTGTATATCACTGGGCACTCCTTTTATACCCATCAAAGTTAAACATGTACTGAGAGTGCTTATTGGAACACCCTATCTACTTGGGCTGCACAGTGGCGTAAAGGTTACTTTTTCTGGATTTCAGCACTATGGTCTCAACTTCAAATCCCAGTTAGGACACTATCTGAATGTAATTTGCATGTCCTCCCTATGCTTGTGAGGGTTTCCTTGTGTACTCTGGGTTCCTCCCACACTCCAAAGACATGCTGGTAGGGTAATCGGATCCTGTCTAAATTGCCCCAGCACTGTATGAAGGTGTATGCATGTAAAATAGGGACCTTGTATACTCCTTGAGGGTACAAACTGATGTGAATATACAATAGGTAAATTGCTGCATAGACTGCTACATAAATGCTTATAATAAAAAATAAAAATAAAAAGGTAGATCTCTATGGCATGTATTGAGCCCCACAGTATGCTTTATTCTAGCACAGTAGTCCAGCTTGCTAGTGCAGTGAAAAATAATGCTCCTGCTTGCTGCCAGAAGATAGTTCAGGCTGCAACAGTGGGAGTGTGGCCAGATTTCACGATACAAATACACTCTGGGTAATCAAGAGCCCAGTAATACCCTATGGGCAAATATATTGGTGGATGATGGACTGTGCACTGTGTGCAACTGACTTAATTTATAGTTGAACTCCAGGAAGACATTAAAACCCAATTAATATAGCCCTACATTCATTATATATCTTTCTTTTGTTTGGGGTTTTTAATAACAGCAGTGTAAATACTTGTGTAAATTTTTGAGTTGGTATTAGCCTATTGCAGTCCACAGCAGTGCTCAGTCTGCTAGTGGGATAAGCAGCACAAAAAGCCAATCGGCTGTGCTGCACTGCAAAGATAATGCTGATAGGGCCATAGTGACAGAGAGATGAGCTCATCAGTCTGCTGCTGCTCTTCTCACTGTCCAATCATAAGCTGCGGGAGGAAGAAGACCTGTTAGTGTAACTAAATTGCAGCTAAAAAAAAAAAAAAAACAGATCTTCAACCCCAGGGGTCTCCAAACTTTCTAAAAAAAAAAAAAAGGGCCAGTTTACTGCCCTTCAGATATTAGGGGGGCTGGACTGTACTCAGTGGGAGTAAATAATGCCCGATTTTTGGTATTAGGAGGAGAAATAGTGCCCCATCATTGGTGTCAGTGGGAGGAATAGTGCCCCATCGTTGGTTTCACTGGAAGGAATTATGCCCCAATGTTGGCGTCAGTAGCAGGAATAATGCCTCAATGGCCAGATAAAGGCAAGTAAAGGGCTACATCCAGCCCCAGGGCCACAGTTTGGAGAACGCTGTTCTACCCTGTCAGACAGAGCTGTTTAAATCGCAGAACTGGATGGAGAGAATTACAAATCCTTTGACAGGTAAAACCACTCTGATATATGTTTTCAAACTGTGTTTTTCTGTTTGCCTGGAGTTCAGCCTCAAATGAAACCTATGACACCATTGCTGATCACCATCTGAAAATACTGGTTGCTTTTTTTGTTATGTTGACTTCAGATGTGGAGTCATGACTTCATTTGCTGCATGCTGGTTCCAGGTCAATGACTCAAAGTACTGAAGCCATAGGATAAAAATGACAGCTGGGAAACTAGCATTTTCAGGATAGGCATGGCGACCTACATATTACTCTCATGACTGACCTTTCTTCATCTTGAATATGATACAGATTCTGGGACAGAGGCCGGTGACTCTGAAAGAAGGGAGCACAGAGGATGACAAGGAGGCAGACGAGATTCACACCAGGGGAGCCGTGCTCTACCAAGTAAGTGTCTCTCACACAGAATATTTCATTTTCTGTGTATGTCAAAGCAGTACAAGTCATTCACATAGTTTTGCAAGTTAGGAAAAAAAAGTGAATTTGGTGGCTTTCAGAGAAATTATCTGGGCACAGTCCATTTCTATGCAAAGCGTGAAAGTGTATCTAAACCCAAAACCAAAAAAATAGTGTATTGCCATTCCTTACATGGGAGATTGCAACGCTTTTTCTTTTATTTTGGAGAAAAAAAGATAGAGATAGAAATGATAGGTAAAGAAAATGAATGCAGTGCTCCGATCACATCCCCCGCACACCGATTGACGTTCTCCGAGGACCTGGCCAGGATCGGACTGGTGGGGTGTCCAGTGTAAGCTCTGTGCCGCCTCCTCCTCCCCCATCTGCTAGACGTAGCCAGCTCCCCTCCCTACACGTGGGCTGAATGGATCGGGAAGCTGCAGAGGAACTGGGACTTGGATCGGTGGGGTCTCAGCTGAAAGCATTGTGGGGAGTCCGGACCTGGCCCAGAGCAGAGAGGGCGGTGGTACCAGCACAACACAGGCAGCTGACGCCATGATCAGGCATGGAACAATGGTCAGTCACAGTGTGGGACTAATTTCTGTGCTCCTTTAAATGTTGCTCCTGGGGCGACCAGCCTGGTTGACCCACCCCCTTCCCCACGCTACGCCACTGAGTAACACTGTCCTGGGGTGACAATGCTCACTCACTGTACTGTATCAAACAAAGATTGCATTGGCGCGCTGGGTTGCTCTCCTGATTTGGACTACATACACCTCCCTCTATTCTCACCATAACATGAAGGAGGTGATCTGTAGTTTACAGAAGATAACTGGGAAGGCAAATAACATTGTGTGAGATTTATTTAGCGCACATAAAGTTGCACTTCATTTCTCCTGCATAAGCACCGAGTTGCTGTAATTGTAGCTCACACAGGTCTATGGGCTCCTAGTGTGATAAGCCCTGATTGGCACATATTGTATTCTGACAACCAATACTGGTGGTTGTCAGAATAGAGTGGGCACTGCCAAACAGTGACTGCAGCTGACTTGAGGAATTATCCAAATGGCGCCTTTGATTTTCAGATAGAATGATGTTGCCAACAGGGCTGCCCACTGCTACAATTTTGTCCAGTTTATCAGAAACTGGCCAAAATGCAATCATTGCATAGCCAATTTTAATAATTCTGCCCTTAGCTGGACAAGAAAACTAAAAGGATAAATTCACCGTTTGTAACATGTTACAGGTTACTAGAGATGTTAAATTTCTGTAAATTTTTAAGACATTGGAAAAAAGTTTTTTTCCTGGAAAAAAATTGACATTTTAAATAAAATTCAGTGTGTAGTTCTACAAATTGAAAGTAAGTTTGTTACACTAGGAAAGAAATGCCCGTAGCAAAAGAAAGAAGAAATAGCGCAGGGCATACATGACTAGGCCCAGAGTGGGGGAAGGAAGAGCAGAAAGGGTTAAGGTAGCTCCAGGGGGATTTGTTATTGTTAGTGTGGGGTAGCTGATTGGTAGAGGTTGGTGTAGGTGGGGTTTTGCTGCACCTTAGGGCGGGAGGTTCTGTGAGGGGGCGTCAGTTAGCTGGACGGCAAGAGTGTGAGCTTCCCTCCCGCCCTCCCTGTTTGGGTGAGTTTTGGGTCCCTCCAGGTAGAGGGGGGGGGGATTCTGTTGGTTCATGGACGGTTTGTTGGTCTTTGGCGGCGGTTCTTATTTGGACGGTAAACAACAATGGTGTGGGACCCATTCGTGGTATGGGTTGCTGCACTGCGGACGGTATGGGTTGCTGCACTGCGGACGGTATGGTTGTCTCCGAGCTGGTTCGTTGCGGCTGGAGGCCTAGTGTATATGGTTGTCCGCAGGTGCATTTCGGATCATTTTGGGGTGCCTTCAAAGACCAACAACAATTCTGTGGGTTTCTGTTATAAGGAATGGTTGGTGGCGGTTGTTGGTCTTTGGAGGCGGTTCTTATTTGGAAGGTAAACAACAATGGTGTGGGACCCATCCGTGGTATGGGATGCCCGGGGACATTCCCAGTTAACCAAGGTTTAACTGGAAGGTGGTGGTGCTGCACTGCGGACGGTATGGTTGTCTCCGAGCTGGTTGGTTGCGGCTGGAGGCCTAGTGTATATGGTTGTCCGCAGGTGCATTTCGGATCATTTTGGGGTGCCTTCGAAGACCAACAACAATTCTGTGGGTTTCTGTTATAAGGAATGGTTGGTGTATTGTAACTTGAGTTGTTAATAAAAGGCCATGTTGGCCATTTACTCCAAAATTGGTGTTAAGTCTTTTGTTAGTATAATTGGTTAAGGGGAAGGGGGTTGGCACGGAACGGTAATGGTGGTAATGGGGAAGTGGACGAGCCTATCTCTGGTGCAATAGTCATGTGAAATACAGAGTATATAAAAGTATTATGCTTGAAATAAAAGTAAAGTTTATTCAGTAAATAAACCTTGCTTTTTAAAATTTTATTTCTTATTACAAATGGAATAACAAGGACTGTATGCATTAAGGACAGTTCAACTATACATGAGAACAGGTGATCACCCCCTTTCCCTCAAAAGCAACAAACCATCATCACCAAATAAACAACCATCACCCAAAAAAAAAAATCAAATTTGCCCCTTAGCACCAATAGCAGAATTTCTGGACCAAGAACTCTGAAAGGAAAAGTTACTTGCACTTTCATCATGATCCTCATCATTTAACTCCATAAAGTATTTTTTATGTCTTTAGGGCACCTCTGTTATGCAAGGGTGTGTTTTGTCATCGTTGTAGCATTTGGAAAATAATATTTCTTCTCATGCTTTGCAAATTGCAGCTTTGCTCTAGGCAGAAATTGAACTGTGGAAATGTTTCCAAGATTTTGGTCTCACCATTTTATCTTAGAGAAGGAAAAGAAAAAACTATTTACTCTTTTACCTGTTAATTAAGAGCTCAGAGGACAGAAACTATCATCACTGTATCCCAACAATCAACCAAATGTAGGAGGTACAAGTTGGAGCACACAAGCAAACTAAACCGGAGCCTTTCCCCTGCAGTGCTCCTTGTAGCAGAAATACATATTTCTCTTGCTTGAGAATTGCATTGAGAAGTACAGTGTTACTTGAATTGTATTCCAGGATTCACTTGCCTTTAGCTGAGAGAACGTGTGATCATTTAAGACTTTACAGTGAAGTATCAGAAATCTTTCATTAAGGTCTTCATGTTATATACTTTGAATACCATGTCATAAATATATTATTTATTATTGTACAAGAACATATTCCACGCTCTTTTTTTTTTTTTTTTTAAATGTTTCAGAAAAAAAACAAATCTGGCTTTGGAAAAAGATGAAAAAAAAACCGTTTTTTTTTTACTAATTTGTCCCTTTTTTCCAGGCCCTCCTATCTCTGCATGTTACACTTGTAAACAAGGGAGTAACATGTAACATGCTACTGACCACGCAGCCCCCACACCCTCTGGAGCCCCTGTTGTGACAGTGGACCGGGGATCGTCTCCTCGCACCCACTGTCACAATTATTTTTAAAAATGCGCCCATGCGGGACTTTACTCATGTGGCCGTGTCATTCATGCATAGAGTTCTGTGAATAAGAGAACTGCAACTACCATCAGCCATTGCCGCTGACTGCTTGTAGTTCTCAATGAACTACCAGGGCACTGGTGAGCACTCTAGTAGTTCAATGATTATTCCTGTCATGTAGTAACTGCCTTTCGTATGAGGAGATAGCTACACTGACAGTCTGCAGGAGCCTTGCATTGCACCTGCAATCTGCTGATCGTGGGTGCAATGCTCTGCAGGCATCACTTGAGATTTTTCTATAAATTCAGCTGCTTAGATCTCTGGATATGCTTCTCATTTTAACATTGGGGCTTCATGATTAACTGCATGAACATTTTTCAAATCATAGACTGTTTGAATTTCCTACTTTTGTGACAGGTCTTCTTTTTTAAAGCCAATTACTGGGCAAAAATATAAATTTTTTCCTAATCTGTTGAACAATCACCCTATATATCAAGGCAAATTAGTCGTAAATCATCTAGCTGAAAATTACATTCTTTACTGTAACAATCACCCTATGTACGAAAATAGTAAAGTGTTAAATTGCGCATTCACATGACATTCCTTCAACGTATTTTATAACGAAAAATGTACCTATTTGTACTTGAGCTGTTGAATTGTTGCATTTACATTGTCCAATGAGAGTGTATAACCTGTGCTTTCAAGACAAGTTCAGTACTTCTATAGTTAATAATAGTAATACATTTTTTTTATCATTAAAAAAAAATAGCTCAACCAGACATATGAACTGGTATTCCCCTAGCATTAGAACAGCAACTGTATAGTCTTCCTAATATGTTTATACCAGCCTGCATTGAAGAGTACTTTAAGAGGGGTTACCCTAAAAAAAAAAAAATTGGGGTCCAATGGTGGGTTAGTTCTGGTGGGATGAGTTTTTTATTTGAAAAAGAATTGTTGTACAGTTTTAGCATAATGAAGAACTACTGCCAGCAGATTGGCTTGCTGGGTAAAAATCTTGAAATATTTTATATTTACTATACAAGTGAGACTGGGTGGCCATTCACTGACTCCTGCATTCATCTGGTGCACATGATTCTATAGTGTATAGGGTGAAAGTAATTGTGGAATATAGGGCGAATACTGTCAAATATTATTTGGGCAATGATAGAAAAGGTTTCAATGGGTAAATATCCCACTAATCCTTAAAAATGGACACTTCAAAGTGTATTTTTTTTTTGCAGTTAAATTTGAGAAACCCCACTATATTTTGTGTTGGCATAGTACAGCATACTAAAAAATAAGTTTTTAAAAATACTTTTTACCTTTTTAAGTTATTTGTAGCAGCATTATATATAGAACTCTATAGGCAGTTTATATGAATTATTGGGGTATTTTAGTCAATGCTCATGTTTCAGGTGGAGTTCAGTAATATTTAGGCATATGAAAGGTCACATATTAATGATAAACCTAATTGATAAGCAGCACTACTCCCTAAGGAGTCGCTAGAGCTGCACAGCCAGGCAACACACATTTTCTTTTTAGTTTTATTAGTAGTATTGAACTTGGATGGGGATGAGGGATACATGGGACCCCCAAGGAACTGTTCACCTGAAGACAACTCCCTGAAACTATGTACAAGTTCTCAGAAGGGTTTCTCTTCTTTGGAGATCTATCCAGCCTCTCCTAGCATACCACCTCAGACCCCCAGATGAAATCTCCTCTTCACCCAGCTGCCTGAGGGAATCCCTGGGCAAGAGGACTCAGAATTTGCCAATTTATGATCAGCAGTCCCAGATGGGGACTCCCAGGCTGTACACTCCATTCTGCTCCCTCTATATTCCACCCAAACTCTCCCTGGTGCTGAGCAGGCCCAGTCATTCCGAGGGGTGCCCTGATCGCATGCAAAGCCTCCTGTTTTACGGGATTGGTCTGAATTCGTTAAGAGTGCAGACCAGCTCCTTTTCACCCCCACCCACTGAATTCCCCCCCCCCCCCCCACACACACACACACACAGTGTTCTAGAGACTTCTTCAAGTCTCTAGATCAGGGGGGGCTGTTACTCTAAAGAAAAATAATAATCTAGGAGGGTGCTACAGCTGCAAACACACAATTGATTGTTTACTATAATGTGTATGTCCACCATAACTGTACAATGTCTCTTCGCACAGGTCTCTAATGCTACCGGAGAGATGAAAGTGACGCGTGTGGCTGATGGTGGTACCTTCCGTAAGGAGCAGCTCATTTCAGATGACTGCTTCATCCTGGACACAGCAGGAAAGATCTACGTCTGGAAAGGTAATTCCAGATGACTTGTAAAATTGCTTTAACTCCACATTTATTTCCTTATTTAGCCATACATACTTTGAGGCAGTCTCTTGTATTTGGAGTCAGAGGCCCTCAATGTCACACCATTGCTGCACTGTCAATTTCCTAGCCTTATGTTAAGAAAACACACGCTTCTCACAGCTCATAAGTGTGCATAATGGTATCAAAAAACAGAGCACACGTCTAAATTCCTCTTATCTAAAGAGTAACATTAAAATGGGGTCTGCCTGGTTTCGGCTTGGTGGACCAAGAGTACCCCAGTTCCCATAATGAGTCTTGCACTGGGAGGATCAGGGCCAGGGTCCTTTCTATTTGGAGGAGGACCATGTGTACACCTTGCGCACTTTTTTGTGATTCAGTTTTTGTGTGCTCACTTTTTTTAATCGCACCTGGTTTTTAGTTTCGAGTGTGCTCACTGGAATGTGGTAAAAGAAGCAGTGTCAGTAATGTATTAGGTTTTTTGGGGTTTTTTTTCATTCAGATTAACAACTGAGGAACATTTTAAGTATACATTTTAATAAAGAACTCCAGGCAAAATTTTTTATTTTCCCATGCATTGGGGCTGTGCCCACACTGAATGGGTTAACTGCTCCTTTTTGTCTATGGTTGAGGAAAGAGAAGATATACTTACCTAATCTGACGATACTCAGAGCGCAAGATCTGTTCCCACGACTCTTTCCCCCGCGGAGGTTTTCATTAATGGATATTACTGGCGACATCACAACCACAGACCTGCTCTGGATGTGAGGACAGCAGGAACCATCCACCACTGGACATGGGGGAGCACTGTTTTGTGGAGGATCAAAGGATTGGATAAATATAGCTTTTTCTTGCGGCCCTGGACAAAACGAGCAGTTAACCTATGCAGTGCGGGCACAGCCCCACTGCATGGGAAAATATGCTTTAAGCTTTTAACTCCATAAATTTACATGCACAGGTTTTCCCCCTGTCTGTTACGGGAGTTGTCCCCTTGTAAACATCATCAGGGTGTCGGCATGGGCAGACCTCAGATGGCCATCTTGACATATGTAGCGCTACCCCCTTGAGGGATGGTGGGTCCCCCTAAACTCTGAACAGCCAGGCAACACACATTTTCCACACTCTCTCTGAGTCAGTAAAACAGTCCTTGAGCTTGTTTTTGTTGTGTTTATTAGGGGGTAACAACATGGATGGGGTCTAGGAGTATACGGGATGCCCAAGTAACTGTAGACCTTTCAGGACAACTTAACAAAATGTACAAAAATGTGGACAAAAATCGGCAACAGTCCTTGTAAGGAGCACAAAGTCCCTTTGATGAAGCTCCTTAGACCCCAGATGAAACTTTCATCATCCATGCAGCTGTCCTGAGGGGCAAGAATTTCCAAGATCTAAAACAGAGTAGTTCCAGAAGAGAACTAGTTGGGTATTGCACCTGACCGCCATCTGCCCCTCTGTGGCCCAGGAGGTGTAGAAGTACTCACACTGTCCTTTTCCTGTAGTTTTGCTGGTGGTTTCAGCTGTTTTTCAGGCTTTAGGCTGGGGTGACTCCTTCCCTGCTGACAGGCTGTCTTTCCTAGGAGGCTGTGGTATGGTGGAGATCCTTCTGTCTGCTCTAGCCTGTAGGTAGGCCCCCTCCCAAGCTCCATGCTCCAGCACCTGCTTCAGTCCACCTTCCACCGGAATTCAACAACTCCCCTGTTCTCTCCCATTCAGTTCAGGCTCTCTATTTAAGGGCTGTTCCAGTCACCATGTCAGCCAGGTTCCCCTAAACATGCAAAGCCAGGCCTCCTCCACCCCTTTTCCAGAAATTTTCAGCAGTTTCTTGAAAGGTGGGAGAGCTCCAGCAGCCCTGACCTGTAGAGCCTCCCAAACTGCCTGAGGTAACCACATTGCCTCATACCCAAGCTGACTCCTCCCAGGCAGCTAACAAACCTCTGACTAACTACAAAAATCCTATCTACCTAGAGGGCGCTACACATTGAACCTCACATATAGGGTCTCCTACGCTATTCAGGCACTCCTGGAGTGAATGCTAGAGCAGGGCTAAAGATCCTGCTGGCGCTAGCTAGGGAAAGTGAATAGTGAAGGTTTAGGTTCCTGGTGAGTAGGGTCAGCTCAGGGAAAAGGCCTGTCTTGAAGAAATATCTCACTATCTGGACTAGGAATATGGGGTTCCCATGTACAGAATTTTAGTGCCACCCTGGTACACAGCAAACTGTCACCCCTCCAGCAGAGACCATCCGCTGGTGATACAGACCTGATGACACTGTATACATATCAACTGCTAGATTGTCTTATACCAGTGCCTGTTATAACTATCTTTATTCATTACTGATAACCTGTATACAATGCACTAGGTAAATTAAAAGATCAAGAACTGGTGTGGGTGGTCTGTACCTTACTAGGTACCCTCAGCCTAGGCCACACCTACCAGTGGAGCTAATCTTCAGGGTACTTTATATGCAGAAAACAGAGACATGAAAAGCTACTAAGGGCTGTAAACCAACTAGGACAAAAAAAAATTCAACTTGAATGTGACTTACAGCAACTATTATAATGTAATCAAACATCCTTTTTTTTTTATCAGGTAAAAAAGCAAATAAGGAAGAACGGGAACAATCTCTAGCAACCGCTGAAAAGTTCATAACTCTCATGAAGTATTCAACTAAAACACAGGTAAGACAGGAATTTCCTTCTCTTATTCATCAGTTCCTTTTTTTTTTTTTTTTTTTTTTCCCCCTCTCTCTTTCAACTGGAGCTCATTGGTAAAGTAAATACTGTACATCACAAAGTAAAATACATATGTGTGAAGGCCACAATCCTATAGGGTTCTTTCACACCGACGTTCTGATAGTGTCCACCTGCCCGTTTCTCAGGCAGACCCGATTGGAACCTTCATTCTCCTCTATAGCGCGGCGGGTGTTTACACCCTCAGACATCTGATCCACCAAAAAGAGATAGATGGGGATCCAATTCTCCTTTCATCTGTTGGATCAAGCTGGATACAAAATGGACAGGCGATCCATTTTCATCCACCCGCCCATTGAAGAGAGTGAGGTGCTCTGTGTCTGCTCTGCAGCAGCGGAGCAGATACAGAGCTGTCATCTGCTTGCTCAGCGGGCATTAGCGGAGAGATCCCCCGCTTAGCATGCGGATCCGCTAAATGGATTCACCCCATGTAAAAGGACCCTTTTTAATGAGTCAGTTTCAATGCACTAAAACAAGCATGCATCCCTGGTGCAAGAGTACTTAAAGGATAAGGTCAGCTTTAAAATAAATAAATGTATGATTTTGCAATTCAGACTGCAGAACATTGCACACATGATCAATGGATCATAGATGCAATGTTAGGCTTCTGCAGAGGCTGCTGAAAGCTGTCTGCCTGTATTCCTCAGATGCAGAACTTGTCCTACCAAGGAGCTGATTAGCACTCTGGTAGTTCATTAAGCACTACAAGTCGTCTGCCGCGGTGGAGACTGTAGTTCATTCATTTACAGATCGGTAAATAAATGATGCGGTCATATGGGCAGAGTCCACACTCTTTTTAAAGTGTGACAACATCTGTGGGGAGACGGTCCCCTGCCCACAGTCACTGGGGGGGGGGTTAGTGGAGTGTGGGCAGCTGCTGTACTGTAACAGGTTACATTATAAAGATGGGTGTGTAGCGCTCACCCCTGAAAGGGCCTGCCAAGTTGTTCCAGGTTCTCTTCCCAAGCTAGTGTATTGGCAGCCAGGCAAAACACAACACTCTTTTGACTCAGTGATCAGTCTAGGAATATCTATTAATGCTTTTTAGGAAGTTAGACTTGGATAGGGTTCGGGGAGCTGTGTAATAATCCAAGTACACTCTTCACTTTGTCAAACTTCTTAGTACAGTCCCTCTAGGGAAAAGCTAGGGGCTTGAGTAGTACTGAGCCACCATAAGGAATGTCCCAATCCAATCAAGCAATGGTACTGATGCACAAAGGATAGAAGCAGCAACCAGTTCCTAGAATCCTACACTCGGGTCTGTACTCACAGTGGCGCTGGATACTTGGATGCGATGCTATGCAATAAATGTAAATTGCACCCCAACATACACTCTACAGTGTATTACAACACCCAGTTACATAGGCCCTGCACCATTTGCAATGTGATGTATAAGTTTTGCTTAACACAACATGTCTTAACCCTTTCACTGCCAAAGATGTATGCCATACATCGGCAGCAGTAGGGACTTTTACACGCATTCATTATGCACTGTGTAAATCTGAGAATTTGGCTGTCAGATGGAAGCTATAGGACAGCTATTCAGTTGGCTGTTATACAAGCTAAAGCCCGTGTATACAAGGCCCAGTCACAGCCATCATTCCTATTAATATTTATGGTAGTAGATATTTGATAGCGACTAGATCTGCTAGCAAACTAGAACTTGAAGGATGCATTAAAAGGCAAGAATAAAGCTGCTAGAAGCTTGAAAAATGCTTTGTAAAAACCTATGGTGAATATTAATCTTATTCATGCTGAAAGCCCACCTTTAGTTGGTAATAATAGCAGCAATTACATAAATTAAAAAATGTGGCTCTAGCAGGTTCACTGCGCTGTGATCAAGGGCAATCCTTTTTGAGGTTCATCAATGGGATCAGTCAAGCCCCTTCCCCCCGTGAGTGCAGGTTATCATGGCCCTTCCCTCATTGGGGGCATGTCAGCACAGCATCCTGCCCTCACCTTACATACATACAGAGACGGGTGAACATGTTATTTCGATGACACTCTGTATGATTGGGTACTGCCTACCACCAGCAGCGGAAGAGGACCCTGCAAACCATGTGGCTGGTCTTAAATAATGGAAGTATTAAAAAGTGTGTGTCAGGGCCCTCCTATTCCTCTTGTATTTAGCTGTATTGTCTCCCTTTATATTGTAAAGCACTGAGCAAACTGTTGGCGCTATATAAATCCTGTATAATAAAATATATGGTTGTTTCAAGTGAATTTTTCCTGAGAGTATGGAAGCGGTCTTTGCTGA